AATGTGCTGCCTAATGGTGGAATAAATGACTTTTAATTGTGTGAAATTTTAATTTGAAATGCGAGAACCCCATTAAAATGTCGATGCATGATATGAATCAAAGTCAAACACAGAGAGTGCCTCAAATACCCTGAATTTTAATAACACTTTTCGAGAATATATATAGGAGGTGAAAAAGAGTACCTTCTCGTCGCTTCGGAGCACAATCTATGGAAATTTATTGTGCCAAATACACACTTCCCGAGAGCGTCTTAGCGTCTCAAGTAAACACTTCTCTTTTTTTACTATTATGCCATTAAACTGAGATTGTATGTGAAATATTCCACAATTCCTAAATAAATATATAGTGGTTCTTTTTGTGTCTCCTCCAGTTTATATCTGTTTCGTCTAAGTGGATATGGGCTATATCTTTATGGTTCTGTGGCGATAAGAATTAATGCGAATGGTGAAAAAATAGCACAGAAAAACTGTACCAAGATTTATGCAAGAATTTCCCCATCGTTTGCACTCGTAAAAATAAACCGACAATGGCGGCAAAAAATGGAAAATTTCATGCTCCTTCACTCAGGCTAATTGCAATCGGATGTGAGAATGCGAGTGATCGTGAATGAAGGACGGCTAATTTCAGAACTGACATTTTTGACATGTCGAAGGAGACGCGATTCATCCCGCTAAAGATCAGACAAATTTAATGAGATTTGAGATTATATAAACCAAAACGAAAGGAGCCAAAATCACCGGAAATATTTCAAGATGCTCTCAAGTCAATTACTGTGTATATAAAGTGATTAATGTAAGTATCGAAGATACACGAGCTTGAGAGCAGCAAAAAAATCATCCCAAAAAGGAGTTCATTTTTATCTCAGAAAATTTATACACACCTTTTATCTTTCGTATTCAGTTTAAGCACATTCAAATTCCTTTGCATACTTTAATAAGCAATTTGCTAGAATTATTTATATTTCCTCTGGTATTTAAATTCACAAGGAAACACTTGTCGTATTTTTTTTTGCTGACAAATAAGAAGATTTTTTTCTTTCTCCGCACACTCATCGCCTTTCGCTCGAAACTAAAAGTGTTAAAATGACACAAAATTTCCATTCCTATTACATCTAATCATTTTAATTTGAGAGACAACACCCAGAGAAACGAGGCACAAAGCAAATTAACAATGATGAACCAACGGAAAATGCATTTTTCGCCGTCCACAAAGGGAAATGTTCATATATGTAAGCTCAGAAAAAGAATCTCCCGTATTTACTCATCGTTGGCATTTGTATGAAGTTTTCATAAACACTTTGCAATTAGCACGGCAATTTTGATTATTTACTGTAAAATAAAGACAAGAATGGGTAGGTAAATTTCAGTGTGTAAATTTTTTAGTCTCCTCAAATGTTTGACTCTTCGCTGGCGAGTGAATGGCACCGGCGAGTGAGCGGACAAGACACTCAACACCATGTTTAATGCTAATAGTAATAACATATATTTAGTAATGAGTGTTGCTCATGATTCGTAGCGATTACTTGTGACAATAATATCATTTTAATTGGTGTTTAGCTATGCAAACAATAAAACACAGATTTAATGGTCGAGTCACTGGACTCGGCAATTTTTGCCCTGACTCTTTTTCCGAGGAGGTGTACCAAGAAAACACTCCTCGTGTCCGCCGGGTCGAGCAACATTATACCGATTATTATTCTTATTATTTTCCCCATTAACTACACTATCATTTTCGTGTGGTCGCCCTTTATAATTCTATCTGGGGAAAATAATATTATACTTTTTTCCTCACTCGCACTCACCACGCTCGGGTGTAATGTTACGGGTCCGTGAGTGGAGCAGCACACCTGGAAATACCTTGAGTTTCCTCCCCGAAAATTCTATGGTGGAAAATATGTCCAAGAATAACACAAACACAGAGATGAAAGTAATTTTGTTATTCTAAACCACACAAGCAGAGCTCCTATTTGTGCACAGAGTGGGTCCCAGAAGAAAATCAGCCACTGTTTTCCCTCCTTTTTCGGCTGGAAAACCACCAAAAACCCTGAGCATATTTTTTGATGGCAAAAATGTGAGCGAGAGATTGAAATGCCGAGCTGCTTGTGCTAACAAAACAAAGAAACTTTGCACAAGCAACCAACTTTCTGCATTAATGTGCCCAAGGAGCGAGCTGAATTTAATTAAAAAAGAACAAAAGACACCTAAAACACTGATGACGGAAGTATTCCTTGCCAGAACACCCAGAATTTCTGCCCAAAACTGTTTAGTGCCGGGAGACAGCACTTCGGAACATTGCGCCCGAGACATTAGGCATTCACATGCCTGAGTTGCTACAGGAAATTGAGGCCCGAATGGCGATGGCCCCAGAATATCAGCCCAGAGAGAGAAAGTGAGAGAGCAGTTTCTGTGGAAACAATCCACGAACACTCTTTCTTCTTAATCAAAGTGAGAAGTATTTGTGCTGAGACAGAATCCTGTCGAACGTTTTCAATCATATTTGTGCTTCAGAGGCACAAAAATGACGAGCCCTTTATTCTGACACTCACCGAATGCGGGCAAATTCCAAACATACGGAACACAGAAATAAACTTTGAGCCAGAATGAAAGACATCCCAGTGGTACTTATGCCGGTTGAAAATTTAGCACATTGCTCTAGAAAAAAAAATCACCATTGCGTAAGACGAGAGGAGAAAAAACTTCCTCGAGAGACTCACAAGATCCATAATAATATTCTCATGTGTTAGCATATATTCATCTTTCACATGGCATTCCAAAAGGGAAAATATTTACTGAGCATTGCGCGATATGGCTAAACAAAAGGGGATATTTTGGGGGTAAAAGTAATAAAAACTGAGAGAGACCAAAATTCACTCCATTGTTCCGCAAAGCCTGCAAGTTTTCGGATGAAGATGTTCGGCACTAAGCCGAAGAATCAACAGATTTGGCCTGAGAAGTTCTGAGAAAGTGATGCACTGAGAGAAATTTACAATCACATTTTGCTCTTGTAATTCTTTTCAACCCAGAAAATGACAAGAAAAATTCATGCAAGGGATTTCATGTACTTTAGCACGACAAGATACAATTTTTTTCACTAGAATACACTTTTACGGCCATCAACCTCTCGAATACTGTCGTCTTTATCAGACAGGGGAATCATAAGGACACCCCACCGGAATGTTTATACCCCAATTTTCTTTCTCCTCTATTGACTACAATTGCAGCAATATTCTCCACTGTCTCCCTCTCTGTCTCACTTCTAGCCTGGAAAACCTCGCCTTGAACTCTATTCACATTTTCACTGTAACATTATGTTTATGATTTACAACCGCAGAATAGATATTGCTCTCCCTTCAAGTGTGTTTTACTTGTATCTCTACAAAGGATAATCAATATTCAAAATAAATATCTCGCAGGATTAATTTAAACCATGGAATAGTTTGAGGGCGCGCATCATAGTCTCAAAGACAGGAAATCGTGTTGACAAAGAAAACACTCTGAGCCACAAGTTGGTTGATTTAACTCCTTTTAAGATTTCCGTCAATATTGATTTTTCTCGCAGTGCAGGAAATTTTGGCACCGCACTGAGAAAAGGTTCACAAAATGCGAAAAGAGAGTGGCTTCTTAGCAACTCGACCATTGTGAGGAGTTTTCAAGAGTTTCATGAAGAAAGGCGAGTGCGGAGCATCTTAATTTCACTTTGGGTCAATTGTACAGCAATTACAAGACATTCATCCTTCATTGGGCCCGCGTCAGTTCCGCACAATTTACATCCGCTTCCAGTGATAAATACGTTGCGAATATCCCTGTCGATTAGGAAGAGATGCTTCGCCATTCACACAATTGATTCCACTAATGGTGAATTTGTCTATAAGTATCATCTGAGAGTAATTAAGGAGATTCCCTCGGTGCGCGCACTCCATTGGAATCGTGAAAAGTAATATAATTTCTCAAGAGCCTTAGATTTCTATCCTTTTTCGCAAAAGCGTGAATTCTTTCACATGTAAAAGAACCGGCCAAGGCACTCTGGGAGAATTCATGCTGATAGATGTTGGCGTAGAAACACCGAGTCCCGATACACATCTCAAGAAATATTCCTAATACAGAAATCGTGATTCTGACTTAACGTCTATGAGCCAAAGTAATAAAGTGCACATATGTAGGAGATTTTTCTCTTTTCATATTTCATTTATTCCGCTCAAGGATCCCTCTTCACGGACCTGACCACAGCCGCGATGATCTACTTGGCACTTGATCGGGAAACGTGAGAAGATGCTCTCCGCTCCATTCTAATAACGCCAGTAATTGAACTTTCATGAAATGTGGAGTGAGAAAGAGCCGCATGAGCACAATCTCACTTATCACATTCACTGGGTGGAGCGCGGAATAAACACGGTGATTCTAATTGAATTGACCAAATGTGTACCTTCAGGTGCTAACATTGACTCTGGGCTCGGATTTTCTTTGTGACACTGGTGAGCAAAGTGAAAGAGTTCAGCTGGGCGCATTCGAAGGCCCTCTTTTGGCACACTTTGACACATTTTCAATGCGAAAAGCAGACCCGAGGAGAGACAACTTAATATAAATATTATCATTGTGCCTCTTTTACAATTGCACGCATAAACACATCTCTTCAGGCGCTCTCTTTCATTTCACACAAACACCTTGGGTTCAGGGATTTTTCCCGCAAGGATCGGGAGGATGCACCCATGGCAGAAAATACCTCCTCTCTGGCAGAGAGGATGAACAACAATACGAGGGGTTTCTGCTATTGTGCCCGCGTTTCCCTTCACGGAGCGAGGGTGTCGAGTGAGCAGGTAGTTCTTCTCCAAATGCCGCTTCCTTCAGAAGAGCCCCGCTCCTCCGCACCCCTCTCCTCGGCGAAGTTACCCCCGAAAGATGAGGACTTGTACATAAGAGATACGGATGGAGTCGTGGTGGTATGTTAAGTAAGAATTTCTGGAACTCATGTTGTGTGTAAGTTACCGAAAAAGACATCTGACCTTATCCTGCAGGGTGGCTGTTTTTTGCTGCTGCTCAACCACTCGAAGACACCCGAAGACGACTGATCTTGGCCAATTTGGAGAAGCACACGAGCACACGGCGAGATGATGAGGAAATTTCCAAACGAAATTGCACGAGCAGAGTGTCTTTTTGCCCAAGTGAGCGAAGCGATTAACAAGAGAACATCACAAGATTGTACACAAGAAATGTACCGTTAAATCATCACATGAACGTGCATAGAGCAATAAAATAAATTATTGGAATTGTTGTTCTTCAATTGAGAATCCTCAGTCACAGAGCGTCCGGAGTCTGATCTCAGCACAATTTCATATCATATGTATCGCTTCAGCACGGGAAAACTCACTGTTCTCATTGGCGCTAATTGATTCGTTCGGGAGCGCGAAGGTAGAGTTTCTCTGTCACAAGTCACACTTGAACTCTGGAGAATCGCGCGGCAGAGGTCAAAGGCTATCCCACTTCGGGAGCGACAAACACCCACCACGAGAGTCGCAAGACAACTGACTCGGCAGACGTCCCATTGAGAGCCAAGGCATGCCTCAGTTCAGCCACATACCGAAGTGCGTACCCGAGCAGAAGGCGTGCGGGTGCGAGCGAGACTGCACTCGCCCGTCGTCTCGCTCGTGCTCGCAGCGGGAAAATCCGTGAACTTCCCTCCCGCACAAAAGTCCATCCTATTAATTTACCTGATAAATAAGAAATTCGTGCTTTTCCCAGGAGGCTCTCATTGAATTAAATCAAACTTGTGCTCAGGCTTTTATCAGTTCGCGTTAATAATTCAAAATTACTCCGCCAGCATTGGCCTCTATATACCTGTCTCGCTTGCCATCCAGAAAACTGGAAGTTCTTGTTTTTATATTCTCCTCCTGTGCATCGTAAAATTTCACCAAGATGACTCAAGAGACTTCTTTATTCGCCATGAATCTCCATCGTTAAATTAACTCGAAAATATCTCCTCAGCCCCAAGTGTCTCTAAACCTAAAACTATCAATTGCATTTTCCCGGCACTTTGCCCGCGACGTCCATCTCCGATGTTGGGTGTTTTTTGTCCGCATATCGCGTCGTGTGTGTTTTTTTCGGCTTTCACAGATAAGGCGACAATGGACGAGAAAAGTAATTTTCTCCCCAAAACTATTTATCGATACTTGCATCGCGTCTCATTCAAACAAACACACGATAACAGTGTTTAATTAAACTTCAACTGATATACTCAATGACTGACACACTGCGCGAGTGGGAGCGAGAGAGCGACACCCACTCGGGAATTCCGGGAAAATTTGTCAATTCTCAAGTCAGAGGGTGCATGCCTACGCTGTGTCGGAAAAAATCCTCCCAAGCAAATTGTCTCGAATTTCGCGGCAGGAGAAAATTAATTCAATCAGGAGCAATAAATAATTTCTGTGAAGGAACACAGCGGACAAACAGTCTCTCCGTCTCGCTCTGGAAAGAGTCAACCGCCTGGGCTGTCGAGCGAGAGCAGCGTATGTCCGCCGCAGTGGCGTGCTGGGCAGGCAAATGCTCACAGTGTGTTTTTGCATCTGAAGAAGACGAAAGACGGAAGTTCGGCGAAGATTCCCCAAAACGCTTATCATCATTAGGACGAGATGTCTCTCCGTGGTTGTCTGTGTATTTACCACATTATTCACCAGGGAGTGATTAAACGTTCCACCATTCAAAATGCTTTTCACAATTTCTCCCGGTACAACTTGCATGAGAAATTGTATGGAATTTATCATAATTCCCTTCACATAGCACCAGAGGAATTAGGAGCTATTGAAAATTTGCTGGTGGACTCGAAAATATTGCTCCGCACCCTTCCCACCCCGTCAACGCCATGCTTTTTCGTCCCGACGCCACAAAACCTTTCCACACCGTCAATCCCTCAACGGTCACCGGGTCATGGCGCTATATTTACCAATGACTCACGCTCATGGGCCAAAGTGAGTGGGGAAAAAAAGCGGACAGGGAATTTATCTAGAGAGATATTTGGGAAAATCTAATTAATTGCCTCACCCGCCCAAAATTGACAAAATATTCCGAAGCACAGCCATATGCCAGAATGGCTCCAACATGTTGAGTGCACATGTGAGAATATGCCACAGCTTGTGCCACAGGTCACGGCCAGATCAGTGTCGCCCATTACTCTCGGGCGATCCCAGGGAGCAGTTTATGCACAAATTTCAATATTTTCCCCGATAAGAGATCCAACAGATTTCGTCGTTGCATGAAATTCTTGTAGAATCATGCATTGTCACACCATTCCCTCACGCCGGAGCACCACTTTTCCCTACATTTTCCCCGACTTTTCTTGTCCTGCGGTTACATTTGTATGCTGTACACATTCTTCCATTATTTTCCCCTTGAGAATACCACACACAGTACGCTCATCTTTCACTCCAAGCAGAAAGAGGATGGTTCGAGCCATCCCTGATTTTTCACCAAGAATACATCCACTGAGGGTGAAGTTTGGGGCTCTCTTGCAGGCGCTTGCGACTCTTGAACCCTTAATTTGACGCTTGCAAGACTAATTCGAAGCTTGTCCATAGTTTTTCCCCTATATTTGCCACATTTCTCTCTAGACCTAGACAACTCCCCGAAGAGTTCAACGTTCAACACTTGGCCAATGCACTTGCCGTGAAAACCTACTCCACTCTAATAGTGTAGTGCACTTTCCAATAAATCCACCAAGAATTATGCAAATAGAGTGAAAATAATTGTTGCCACTAAATATTAATCCTCATTACTGACAATCCCCTTCTCTTAAAAGCCACTCCACCCCCGGCAGCGCCCATAACACTGGCTCCCGATATGACGTCCTAATAGCAAATACGAGTATAAATTGTAATTTATCGTATATGGCGCTGGCCATAAAATCACATTTATTTACCCAAGAATTTGTAGCAAATTAAAATGCTACCCATCCGCCCCAGTGAGTGTAAACTTTGCTCAGCAAACTTTACTAGTCAATTAGCACGTGCAAAACAAATCCATTGAGATTGAGAATGGACAAACAACGAGGAGGTGAAAAGACGTCTTCATCTGAGAATGATGTAGAGAAAATCCTTTTGGGAAAATGGCATAAAGTCCACAGACAAGGGCGCGCGCTCGATGAAGCGATTTCTTTCTGCACTTTTATTGCCTCACTCGGACACATGGGCACTTTTGCCCAGCATGCCGAGGGGCGAACGCACAGGACGCACCCCTCTATGTTGTCAGTGGAGCGACTATTCAGCTCCGGCGAATAAAATTTGCGCCCAGGGGTCGGGGGTAGTTTGTGGGCGAATTTCGAAAGGGGTCGCCCAAGTTGTGCCGCCTAGATGGCGTTCGGCGATAACGTGCCAATGGGTGGGGAGCTGAAGATTGTTGCTTGCAATTGTTACGCCACAGTCTCGGCAGTTGCGAAGGGGCGCAGCAAACCTGGTGGGAGGGTCGTTCGCACAAGGAGCCATCGAGAGTCGTAAATTGGATGCAATTCCGACAATATTTATTCGTTAATTTGACAAGAGAATCTCAAGAAGCAGGGTGACCACTGAAGAGTGAACAACAGACAAACTTGCGGTGAGGGTGAGTTTTGTGAGTTCCACAGCAGGCAAAGGTCTGTCGAAGATTGTGACGAAACTTTATGCTGTAGCCTTATGGCAATAATAGTTAAATGCAAACATAGAGAAGGATTGTAGCTACAGTATCCCTCTCTAATGTCTCTTTGTTTGTGTTGTTTATTACCTGGAATTGCTGGAATCTGCATAAGGATGATAATAACTTAAATAGTTTGACTTTGATGTTGTGTTTTGTTAGTCATCGCAGGTAAAATTGAGAAATGAAACAAACATTGCAAGTACATTTCAGAAATACAAAGATATTTGCAAAATAAGGGTGTAAATTGTGTATTTGAAAATTGATAAAATAAGACTTTTATTAAAATTCATCCTCCTTAATAAGTGTCTTTTTGGCAAGATCCCCAAAAACAGCTCTGCGCTATGAGATTGCTTTAATGATCCTAATCTTAAGTAATGGTTCATTGCATAGTACGCGAAATGACCGCATGAACTTCATCATGCCGAAGGGTTGGGGGTGTTTTTTGTTGCACAGAGGGAGATTTATCAATTTTATAGACCCTAATCCCCAATTGTCCTGCCCTAAATACCAAGCGACGGAGGGATGAGTCACCCTGTGCAAAGTGGTCAGAATGCGTAACCCTCGGCTGTGTCGTTGAACCCCTCGGCGAGGGCTGCCAAATGTAGTGCAAGGAATTTCCATGTAATTTTTCCACCAAGTGACAACAAAATTTTCCATGTGCATGTTGGGTCGCTCTCCTTGGCGGCAAACAGCAGCAAATTTGATTGTCAAGCCCTCCTCCACGCTTCGCTTTTTAATGGGCCCTCCCACCCTGCCGCTGGATAATTTGCATGCCACTCTAATAAATATTCATACACACAATATTCATTGAAAATTACAGCCGGTTCTGGCGCAATCTCCAGCGGGGTGTTTGCCAGATGAGTGGGAAGCCGCCTCCAGAAGGGGCAATTTGGCGATTGGGCCGGGGCGCGCTCCGGGCAAGGGCTATGTATGTCGTCTCACTTGGCGCGTATTTTGCTTTATTGCACTTTTATTACCACCCACCGCCGCGCGGCTCCCCTAGGCCGCTCGTGAACAGCGCCGTCGACCCTCGTGAAGATGAGACGATGTGGTGATTGATGGGCTGGGCGATACACCCACAAACATAATTGTTTGATTAGTTGATAAAAAGGCATTTAATCAAGCATACAAACCCATTCATTTTGGGTACACATGATCCGAAACGTGAGTATTTCGCCCAATATTGCGAGTGCTTAATCAATATTATGCCCACAAGTGAATGCTCATCGATGGTCCTGGAGATACCAAATTGAAGGGGAAAGTGATAAATATTGACTATACTTATTTATAGCTAATTTACACCTCAACGGAATTGACTAACCGCCAAAACCCTAAATGGGCAGGTGTATGTCCCAGCTGCAACAAATGACTATAAAGTTCAACTTTGTGACTTGTGCCTTTGAGAGCTGTGAGAAATTTGTATACAGAAATATCACGATGTGCAAGTGAAACATTCGTCACAGAAGTTTTGAAGGAAATCAACTACTTCCAATGAAAATACCTCAACTTCCTTATAACACGTGTATTAATGAATCGTAGTGAGTTAAAAGCGATATCCAAATTTTACAAGAAGAGTGTAAAGCTGATGGGTTCATGGGAATTTACTTAAGATTCAAAAAGCTCTCTCCATAGTTTTCGGGAAATTATCATCCACGAAAGATGAGTAGAAAAGTGCATCAACTATTCTCCTTCAAAATCCATCTCTTATGCATGGTTGAAGCCGAAGATTCAACTTTTGGGCGTTATTACCCGAGACACCGGAAGACTCTTCGAATCGGAAGTGCAGAACAGTCGGTAATGCAGAAGTGGGCGAGGTGCGAAAATGCGCTATTGCGAGTGCGGGCAATCCACGACCAGTGATCCGTCGCCAGATGTCTCTGCGCGATGGCCGAAAAACACTGTGCAGAGCGCGCTCGAGGTGCTCGCATCGTCAGAGTGAATTGAGACGCGATCGTGAACGCATGCGCCGCGTTGCATCGGGCTTGAAATTGGGTGTTTTGTGTTGAGAAAATCAGTTGATAAAAAGGTGTGAGAACCGTTATGGGAGTCGCATCGAAAAGTGGACGATAACAGATGGACTAATATGGTGACAGTGTCTTAGTTATGTTTTAATTGATTCAAATTGTTTTGCTGTCGCGTGTGTTGCCAAATGTGATTGATCCCCTAAATCTCCGCCTCCCTTTTCTCTCCTCTTTTGTAACGTCTTTTTTAAAAGAAAATTGCATGTGTGCTAAATGTGATGCAAAGCGAGATAAAATGTGGTTTAAAATATCAACAATTAGTAGGAAATTCTATTGTGGCACATCACCGAAAAGGGATTACAATTGGATTAATATTCTATTGGCTGCAGCGATCTTTCTTGGATGTTTTCAATGGACAGAAGGTAAGAATTTGTGTGAGGCGAAGTGCTGTTGCGCTGTGTGTGAGACTCGCCAAGACCAGTTGGTCACTTTGTCTTGAGTAGCTTTTCTGTGATTTTCTGGGCCTTTTCCCTGCCAATGGGCGTCACTGGGGTGCATGGGGGACGCCAGGGGTGGCCGTGGGGGTGAAAAATGTGGGTGTGTAGCGGGAAAGCGATTTGAATGGCGGCGGAAAGTGGAAAAACGGGGATCGGGCGAAAAGTGCGGCAACAGCGCTTCAATCACAGGAGATTCTCTCTCACTTCTTTTGGACCGAGATCTCCGCGAAGTGGTCGTGCTCGCTTTACTTTCCTGTGCGCCTGTGTGCGCTCGAATGGGAAGAAAGAAAAGCCTTCACACAGCAAAACGAGAGCAGGTGTGCAAGTCTAACACAGCCAGAGGTCGTGTTGGGATGCAGAAAAGCAGGGAATGGCGTGCGACAGTGTGTGCGTGTCGAGCTCCTTTTCCACCGACAAGACCCCTCGAAATGTCGCGAGAGGGAGCGAGTGCGACATACCGTCGGCCATGAGGTGAGAGGGAGACGCCAAGAGACACAGAGGATCATCATGGCGGACCTCTGTTGAGTTGACACATCGCAAAGAGGCGCAGAAGAGAGTGCATTTTTGTGTGGAAAAATGTGTCCCTTTGCAGATTTGCAATAATATGTAATGGGCAGAGGATGAGAAATGATTATTCATACGGTTTTTTATGCGATGAAAATGATTTTTGCTCGAAAATTCACAAGCACGAGTTGTGCAATGGGAAAGAGAAACGTGCGCTTTTTTGCTTACCACACCATAATTTCTTTTGTTTTGTGTATTTCTTGCAATGTGAGATGATGAAGAAAAAATCCAGCCATACAAAGTGTACATGCTTGAGACAAGAGTGTAAATTAATTATTTTAGTATCGTCTTATTATCATTGAATTAATTTCATATATTGCACACGTCCGCCATTGTTGAGTGATCTCTATGGCTGTGAAGAGAATTGCCACTGGAGTCTGGCCTAAGATGCTCCTCAGATCATAAATATTGGGAAATTGAGAGATAGAGAAAAAAGGCATCTAAAAGCATATCTAAAAGTATTTGATCAGTAATTGTTTGTGTGGCAAATATTGGGTATATTTCTTTGAAAAATCCCAATATAAAATCTACTGGGTTTAACAAATTAAGTAAATCGACAAATCATCTTTCAACAATGTCGTGTACAGAAGAGTTGTTGACCACGGCAAAAAATCTCTTACACTAAAAGCCCGGTGAATCATTGAAATTTAGATTAAGGCCCCTTCTCACCCGATCGCTCAATCTCGCACCGACGCCGGACGTGATCAGCGCGGTAGTCAATTGATTTTTGATTTGTCGGTTTATCATCTCATCCGCCTGTTGAGGGGCAATTTTAAATCCATCGTGCAGATTGGCACCTTTCAGGAGGCGCGTACAGTGTATAATCATTTTCCTATTTTCGACCATTCACGCCAGACTCGTTTGATTCGGAGGAGAAAAGCCTCAAATACGAGCATTGACACTTTTACACCGTCTCAACTTCTCAACATTCCGCCATTGCAAGTGACTCTAATATTGAAGAAAAGCAGCCGCAGTTGATTGACTAGCAAAGCGACAAGCGCTTGATCTCATGTCTCTCATAGGCGAAATGAGAGGTTAGACAGTGTGGCATATCAAATATTTGGTCCGCTTGACCCAAAGCCTTTTCTCTACCTTTACATGAGCTAGTTTGCAGAATCATTCCCAAAGTGTCGGTACTCCATTTACACATGTGAAAGCATTCAATAGTGAGTAATGGTTCTGTGTGGCGACCTTTAACCTTCTATCTGAGAAAATGTAAATGCTGGGACAAGTAATTTTGCGCAACATGTACTTAGGATTTCTATTAAATGCAACGTATACTTCCCAGAATTGTTTGCTATTCGAGATGAGAGTCATTTTGGGTTATCACTGGATGTTGTTGTTGATTTTGTATGACTACTTTCAGCTAATCTGTTCGGGAATCGTCTCAGAGTTGAAGATTGTGTGCAGAGTCACTTGAGATAGAGACAAAATTGAATTCCCGTATCGTTACAGATCGAATTGACCCCATCAAATGCCATTACGATGAGATCAAGCGTGCCGCGGAGTGTTTTAGCCTCCTGCAATGGTAGCTTTTTTTTTACTTCTTCTTCTTCTGCCAGTATTGCTCTCACATTTTTACATCACACTGTTCAATTTGGATTGAGAGGTTCTCTCTCTGGTTGCCTTCCTTCCACCCATCCCAGAGTATGTACAGTATGAGAAAAAAGAGAGGCCCAAGATGGTGATGGTGGAAGGAGAAAAGAGGAAAATAAATAATTTTTGTTTGGTGGGAACAACGTGAAAGATTCTCATAATTTCAATGGCATATATTCCTCCACATTGAGACGCTTTATTTACTGTGTGGTGCGAAAGAGATATCTCCATCGTTGTCTCCCAATTATTCCTCTCCACTATTCTGGTTTTGTAGTTCTCAATATCTTGAGCATAATGAAAGACTCGGCACATGCCCGCGAGGGAGTGTAAAAACGGTCATTATGGCAAAGATTTCTTCCCATTTTCATTTCATGAAACTCCGCGCGAGATCGGACTTTTTCTTCATCTCTCTTTATCATCGAAATCAATTGCTTGTTTCATGTTATGTTTTATCACATTCCCGTCCACGTTTCACCATTTGCCACACAGACATCTGCAAGATCTGCCCTGTTCTTTTCCATCCGTGCGAGAGCGGTGGAAAATTTGGGCGCCAAAAAGTGTCTCCGCGCCGCCATGTTTAAAATGCAACATAAGTTTTCATAGGGCACATCAGCAGGAGTGCGATTTAACCCCTGAATTCCACATGCGAAGGGACGATCAAATGAGGGAGAGACGGTAACGGCGAGGGAACTCTCCGTTCTGGTGGATGCACTAAGCAACCGCCAGTTGAAGTTACCTTCTGTACTCATTTTTTTCTCTCTCTCTCTCTCTCCAGCAGAAAGAGTCGTGAATTCATGTTTCACCTAAGGGTAATATTCACCTTTGCAGAATAATGTAAAGCAACGGTCAATTGACTGATATGGCAACTTATGAGCAAGCCAGGTTAGGGGATAAGTCATGCCCGTTTCATTTCAAATTGGTGTTTCATTACAAGAACAGCGACTTCCTGGCCATGAGCTGAAGGCAGTACGGGAATTTTTCTCTAGAAATGATGCTCTGAGATGCTTTTTCGCCATACTCGATCGAGTCTCGATGATTTTTGCTGTATTCTTGAATTTAGGAATCATTTATCTGGTTTCTGAATTGTGGCGGCTTACGTAGCCGTTTGGGGGCACAGTGAAATTGATTGGGAGCGTCTTTGGTCAAAAGATGGGCAATTAATTGAACTGGCAGACGTGACGTGACCAGTGGCAAAATGAAAATCACAAGTCAAAGAAGCCTTAATTGAGATTCATTGAATCTGTGTGCGCAATTAAGTGGCTATTTACATACATTTTTGATCTCTTTGGCCATTATTTATTAGCCACGAGTGGGAATTTGAAAAAGTGGAACGATCGCTATCAATTGTCTTGTCCCTAAAGCAGAAAACCATATAATATAAATTTATTCAAATTGTTTGCTTTGGGTATTTCACGAAAAATTACAAGATCCGATGGAAGACATTGGGGATTTTGGGAAGCCGGGGAGAGACGTTAGACTTTTGCCAAATGTAATCTCGAGCGTGTGTGTTTGTCTTTCCGATGGGGAGGAGGCAGAGAGTGGATGTGATTCTCTTCCATGATATCGATGTGGCTTTGTTGATGCGTGTGCGAGGGAGATGCAGAGAGTTTGGGTGTTTCAGGGACAAGGAGAGGAAGTTGCTGGTGTGTCTGGTGAGAAAAGATGAAGACCCGTGCTGGTTAAATAGCAGAATTCATGCTATTTGAGCGGAAACATTAAACCGCGATAAGAAAATGCATACATATTTTGCTAGTTTTGCCATTTGTCGACGCGGTTCAAATTTTATTGGTTAACATTCTTTCCTCCTCTTGTTCTTGACGAGGTGTACAACAACAGCACCAACACCGTGACAGGCGAGGTCCATGAAAATCTAACAAATGCTTAACATAGTCAATATGCCTGATCTCCAGTGTGATGATTTATAGCATTTCTCACTGACTATCCACTTGAAGTCATTGCGAAATAAATATCGCTATGATTAATTACACGAGTCACATAAAAATTTAACAAACATTTTTTTCCGCTCCCCAAAAGATCAATTGCGATGCTGAAGGGGAGTAAAAAGTCGAAGAGCCAAATGTGTGTGCGATATGTTTGGGAAATGGCTTTTCAGTGTGGGAAAGAATTCATTGGGCGAATGGTGGTAAAAAAAATACCATGTATATGCCATCGCTTGGGACACATTATTTTAATATGCTGCTCATATTTATTTATTCAGAAGAGTGTCGAATGGAAAGCCAGGCATATGAGTTCATAAAACTCACATCCATTGGCCCAGTCAATGTTCTGCTAGAGTCTTCTCTCGGCGCTCAATGTCTTGACAAACAGGAAAAAATTTTAATGGGGTGCCTTCTGGCCCAAGTTGAATCTTGAGAATGTTTACAATTTCTACTCTAGTTCATCTCTTCAACGCGAGAGGAAAAAAAGATACAACAGTGGATGTTAGATACTTTTTCAGTGACAAAGGAACTGTTGGGGAAAAAAATTCCTTTTGAAATGCTTCGGTCAAATTCAATTATATATACCCAAAAACTCGATTATCCAAATGAACAGCACGATGGAATTATTCTGTGGGCTTTCTTTTCGCATCTTTTTCTGCGCGTTTTTGCGCGCCATTCGCTCCAAACCATTTGGAATGGAAAGAGTTCTGCAAGAAATATGTGTGTAGCGCAGCACTTGAAGAAAAATGCAAATGGCACAAAAACGAATGTGAATATTTCATTAATTTGTTGCCGCTGCCATTGACACACAGGGTGGACAAATCAAGCTGAAACAGACTGGAGGTTACTGTGGACAATAGTTTTCACTGAAAATCCATTCAACGCTCGTAAATTTAACATTCAATTCAATAGAGAAACCAGATAGGCAATGATGAATGTGGCGACTTTTTGCCCCTCAGCAGCACCCTAAATATCATTTCGGTCTCTTATAAAACTGTTGGTCACCGTACAATTGACATTGATACAGTTTTGTTCACGATGAAAAGTCATCAATTACTTTGGAATAAAGTATAGTTGATTTGTTTTGAAACACTGTGACAATCACTATTGCGTTGCGTATTTTATCCTTGTAAGGTGTCCAATTCGAGTCTTGGCTCGAAATTTAACTCTTCCTGAAAATAGATCGTTGTTTTTTTGCAGTCTGCGTAAAACAACACTAAACACTATAATCCATTGGCTTTAAAAATTCATTCTTTCACATCATTTCACTCTGTGAAGACAATAAAACATCCAATTCACGATGTAGAGCAAAATATTGCCTTAAAAGACCTGCAAAAATCTTTGTAATCATATCGCAAAGAAATCAGACGTATTGCTGAAATTATGGGCAATTTCAGTCCAATTGAAGACGCACAGTTTGTCTCCAAGAAGAGTGTATGCAAATCTCCCTGAGACTCGCTTTCCCAAACAGATGGGCAGAGAGTTTCACAAGGCCGAATTTTGTCAAGACAGGATATTGCTTTTAGCAGTGATTCTTGAGGAAAAAAGTGCACTGTGATTTCGCTGCACGGAGAATTAAAAATTGCCACTCTCATGGTCGTTGATGACTGCTAAAATGATATGATTGAGGGCATCTGAGAGGAAGTCAGGAGAGTATTTTGTCCACTTTTTTGCCTTGACCAATTATTCGCTTTTCGTGAATGAGAACCTTGTCTCCGTTTCAATATGCATATGGGTAGTGTTTGCTCTCTTGGAATCCCCATGTCACGAAATCAATTCAACTAATCGAAATTCCTGTGGCATGTATCCAAAGTCTAAAAGCGAAGATTCAGCGAATTACTGGCTCACCCTGCAATTAATGTAATTATTGAGCAAGACAGAGTGAAATTGAGATCTTGATGCTTGAGGCCTGTAACTGTCTCTTGCTCGTTTTTATCTCCATCTTCGTTGTGTTGCTTTTTCTCTTCGTTTTGCGCTCCACCAGTGACTAAATCATCAACACTTGCACCAATTGTGGCAGCATGTGAAAAGAATTCGTCACATGAGCCCAATGAGTGTCTCTTTGTCGTCTCTCTCTCTGCGGTGGACTCGATGTCGTGGAGGATAAAAGGGTCTCTGTTGGGTGTTCTGGCCATAGATAAATTCCATATGCACTCGATAATTTGCATAGGTTGGGACACCGGTGGAAATGCCACAGGTTGCAAATCGCGATGGTGTGCTCGGCGTGCCAGGGTGGCTTTTAGGAGGAGTGTTGTGGAATAAATATGGAGACAGTGTGGCCTCATGGCTGGGCGATGCTGGGCGAAGCGAGCCCAAGTGAATCCCCGAGAGTCAATAGATTGCTTCCTGAATTCGGCATGAGGCAGCTGCTGGAGATGAATTATAACAGCCGGATGATGCATATTAAGTCCGTTAATCTACATTTATGTAAATGCTCGCTTGTCCGCCTTTCCACCAAATTGGCAAAGAGACCCGTTTTATGTTTCGCCATGTTTCTTCGGCTCTGCTTTGCGTCCTGCCTTCGCGCGAGTGGACAGTGATTTTCCACGTAGGAGGAACCGTGTGTGTGCGCCTCCTGTGAGGTATATGAGCATTTCACTTGAAATTTTTCCCCTCTCTCTCGCTCTCCGGCTCCTTCTCTCATGCCCCCGGCCTATTGTTCCGCTGCGAGATCACCACTTAATCAATTAGGTTCAGGGTCATGCGCTGCGAGGCACCTTTTGAGGAGCAAAAATACTGCATGTGCATTTTGGCCGTTAGCCCGCTTCTTCGGACTGTGAATTCGGTTCAAGGGTTTCTCACGAGTCAGCCTCCCTCAACAAAAGTCCTCTGGAGATTTATTGCGTGACCATGATTACCCGCATTGTCCTTGTTGCCGCTTAAGTGCATCTCTGCGCCTGATTAGACTTTGGAGCTTAAGGAAAATGAGAACACAAAGTGATTTTGGCGTAATTGTGCACAAACGCGCTTTTATAATCAAAATATTTACACAAACAATATTCCCTAATCTAAAGTCAAAAGCAAATTCCAGACGTGCTCTTCATCTGAAAGTATTTATTTGAATATAAAATGTGTGTTTCTTTGTCAATTTCGATGTTCGAGAATCCTATGGATTTTTCGCATTTCATAGCAGGCATTCCCAAAGATTGGGCGTCCCTTGTGCCATCTCATCTACCTGTGTGTCTCATTGTACGTCTGCAGATGTGAATGCATGAGTCCATGTGCTCGACATGTTGGAGATCGTGTTGCATTTGCCGAGAGAGTGATGTCGATTGAAAATAATAAGGATAAATTAAATTGTAGCAATTGCTTAGGGTCAGAGATGATGTGGCTCTTGTATTATTTCATTGAGAATTCCATCGAGAGCATGAAGTGTAGATCTTTGAATGCATGTGAGAAGAGGAGGTGGAGATTGGCGGGCGGGGAGGAAAGGGTTTTAATTAAATTACATTGTGTGTCGCTTTGTCCATTTGGCGGGAATATTTTCTATATGTGAAATGAGAATAATGTTAGAGAGACGATCAATTGAACATCACAAAAATTTCCTCATCTTTTTTTTGTGTACAACTGACTTTCCTCTCCCAACCTATAGAATATATATCTCTCCTCTGCCATTCTCCGATATTAATGGCATTTTGTGTGTGTTTGCATTTAAAAGCAATATTCCTGGGCGCTCCATTGTTGGATACCTGAGCATTTGGATTTTTCTCTCATGCGGCTCTGGTTGATTGACTCTCTTGCCTGGGAGTGGATTGAGTTAGTGATTGTAATTCACCAGCCATGCTTGGGAGATGGAAAAAAGCGAGGCACATAAGGGAAAAACGCCAGAGAGCCGTGGTTTGGCTCTTGTGCCTGTGGTTTTATTGTACCTGGATGGTGAGGAGAGACTTGGGAAAGACCCCGTCGCCCCAATATATCGGGTCATCGCACAAATTCTGGGCTTCTTTTTCGCACTTAGACACCCTGCGACTCCCTCTTAATTGATGATTTTGATGATTTGTGTGATTGAATGTGGTAATTATTGATGCTATTAAGGAAACTTGGTCTTATTATACCAAAAGGGAGAAACTGTGATGGAATTTATGCAGCAACCCAATAAGTTTCACCTTCTCAGCGATGAATACATATATTCTTATGGCCTGTGCACGAGCACCTCGCGGCCACCAACTCAATACACGGCGAATGATAACAATAAAACATGATTATTATGAATCGGTGTTGTGTGCCCACATAATTTGGCGTCTGTGTTGGAGGTGCTGCGAATGGGGAGCCATGGGGAGAGAATGCAAGAGAATTCACAATCGGGCGATGACGATGACGGTGTGGTGATGATTGTGGAAGGGAACCGGTTCCCAAAGAAGAGAGGTTCGGTGGACGAAGATTTGTTGAGTTCTTCTTCCAGCATCTCTCGGGAAAAAGAGTGTTGTCTTGACTCTGGGTTGGCAGCTAGAAGAGGCGACTTGTGTATTTCATTTTAAATCAAGCACTGTGCCCATACAGTGTTTGTCTTGCTTTTATTTACAACGCTGAATGTCGACGGTGTGATGGAAGGTCTGAAGAAAAAGAGAGAGAGAGAGGAGGTGCGGAGGCCCAGAAAGAGGTGCAGAAGAGGGAATGGATGATGGGGTAAAGACTGTAAAGGAGGAATGGCGAGAGAGAGAACGATTGACGACAGCAACACAGAAGCAAGTATTGCTGCTGTTGCCACTGGAAAGTCTTCCAGAAATGGCCACTGATTTCTTGATCAACACACACAAATGCTAGTGGATGACTGATTTAATTGTTTAAGAATTCCATGAGTCTGCGCCTTTTCTCTCTCTCTCTCTGCCTGCCTCCCGTCGAAAAGTCTTGGGCGCTTGATTGAAATCCAAGATCATTTCGTGCATCGACCAATTAAATGCAATTGCAACAATAATTGAGCAATAATCACCAACCACCTTCACTTGAGATGTGCTATTTCGCTGACGTGATCTTTTTCTCTCTCTTTTCTCTCCCCCGAAATGCAGGACAATCGTCATGTACACTGCTATGCCAACACGGAGGAAAGTGCATGCTGAGACCAAATGGAGAGCAGTTCTGCAAGTGAGTATCTGAGCATCTTCTCTTTTATTAAAATGTCACTAAATGAAACTTGAGAGATCGTCTTGGGCGCTCGACGATCTTCCAAAGACGCAGAAGATATCGCCGCGGGTAGGGTAACCGGATCAGGCATAAAGACACACACAGAGAGAGATCGAGAGAGCTTCAGGACGAGAAAAGAAAACAATAATATCTCGAGAGTGCAATCGAATGCTCAAATAGTCTTTTCGTGGCTATGAAAATTCACTAATTCACTCGGAAACTGTCACAATTGATTTATTTGGACGGAGAATCGTTTATTTAATTGAGAAACCTGACAGTTTGCCACAGCGCACTCGTAATGTAAATACTCAATAGCTATTCTTTATTCACTTTTGCATGTGAAAACATACATTTTTTATGGATTTTCCTGAAAAATCATTCGCTTTATGCCGTGTAATTGTCGCATAAGGCGATATTTTTCTTTAAAACACACAACTAAGATATGTATAAATGTATCCATGGAATTAACAAGATTTCTGAAAATTATTAAATATAAATCGCGTTCTTTATCGAGTAACATTTATTAAACGCTGACACTGGTTCCGAATGCTTGTTTACAGACTTCAGCATCATCGTTCGATTGTCGGTTGATGAATTATATATTGGTGGCCGAAAAAGCGAAACATATGGCATTTTTGGTGACATTGTATTGAGGAGAATCGTAAAATATAAATTTTACGATACACACTTTCTACAGTGTACATATATTGTCTGGAATGGAGCGAACAAGTAATTAAAAGGGAGACGATAATCGCATTATGTGTATGAGGAGAAAAAGGCAAGAAGCCGAATGATGAAGATGCGCGCGCTGTCCAAGTTTGGGAAACTTGCGCGGAATTTGGGTGTAGAAGGAAATTCAAATTTAATAATTTCATACCAATACAATATTTTTTACAAATTGCCAAGGAATTCAAGTCTGAATGAGGTGGCAGAGGCAGTAAAGAAGAGAATTTATGTTTTGATATGCTTAACTGTTTACTGCATTTTGTGGTTTGCCCTCATCGTATTGGAATCTGGGCGCTTTGGAGTTTATCTCAAATTATGGAAAAATTCATTCTTAAGCATTTCCTCGGGCAATTTTCATCTGGGTATATAAGAAATTTGCAACAACTCTTTATGTATAAAGGAGAGCAATTTGCCTGAAGGCTGTATCCATGGAAAGAGGTACATTTATACATACCTAGTTTCTCTCGCTTGAGATGCCAAGAAAAGAGTATAGCGAGAGAGACAGAGAGAGAGCGAAAAAAATGATTACGAAGAGATATTTTCAGTTCATTTTGCGTGAGAAATCATTTAAATATTTAACCACAAATTATCACAGGAAATATTCCACGTTGTTAGAAATTCAACACCACACACGCACAGTGCGAGGAAGTGTGCGTGGTGGAGAGAAACCTTTTCGGGCTAAGAGATAAGTCAGTAACAATGTGAGCCTGCTGAACCCTTTGTTTCTTCTTGCATCACATTGTTTCCTCGACCTCTGCGGGCGGGTGAAGTGAATCTGCCCACATTGCGTCGGTGATATTCTATACTTGTGGGATTCAAATGAAGGGTGAATGGAAAAGTGGTTGTCGATGCGACATTGTTGAATCTCAATTATTCCGCTGCCCCGGCAGCATTTCCTTAAATAGAAGGATATATGACTGGGAAACCAGTGCCTTTTTGCGAGCGTGCACATTTTAATTGAGTCTGGTACAGACATTGCAAATTTACCAGCGTTTTCTGCTTATTAAATCAGCCTCTTGTTTGGTAACTGAAATTTATCATTTTGGACATAATGGCGAGCTCTTTGTGTCGTTAGATTCGTCTGGAAATGCATAATCAAGGAGTTACGGTTTAGTTAAATCATAATAGAGGCAAAAGACGGCTTTGATATGCATTTTTGCCATTACCTAACTCCATGCCCATTCAATATAATCGACTAACGCGCCGGAAACTATTTGACCGAGATGTTTTTCTGCAAAGTTTGAGTCAGGCTAAGTGATAAATCTGTCAGAAGTATTATCGTTAATTGAGATCATTTGTAAATGCAAAATGTATTGCATTCTAATGGACACGTGGTTGAATTAATTCGTTGATTTGCAAGAAAATCTATAGGATTCCTCAATTTTGACTCGAAATACTGAGTAAATTTCTTGCGAGGCGTGAATTTGAATGTTCTACATATGCTTTGAGATCCACAAATTTCCGGTTTGTGGTGGAAATGGGTGAATTTCCTGTAATGACATGCGATAAAAAAAAACTTTGTGAAATATAAGCAACATGTCAATTTCCCTTCGTCGGCGATCCATGGGAAACTCTTTCCAAAATTTGCGAATAAAGCGTTACGATGAACATCGGGCAATCTTGTATTGGAAAGTAAATGCTTATGAGGGATAATTAAATAAAATTACTTACGTAAGTAGAAGAGATTTTGGAGAGATAATTACAAATATTAAGACAGTAAAAGCGCGGGTATATTGTCGTTCTTCTGCAATGTGTCTCACAGTGTTGCAAAATTGCTCGAAATACAGGTTCACACTTGGTTCATTTTATCCCAAAAATATTAACTCATCAGCAACATGAGTGCAGTTTTGAATTCTGGGAAAAGACGTTGTGATATGTTCGCTTGCTGAAATGAATATTTTATGAGTTTCTTTTGAGACACATTGCATTAATTTGTCCCTTTTATTGACTTTTCTGGTTAAACATTAAGATCCAAAAGCCTAACGTGATGCTGAGCAAAATGTCAACGGATAATGTCTTGCTTCTGCTGCATTATTCTCAAAGACTTCACATTGAAAACAAATCGAATGAGACAATAAAGTGTGCAATTCTCTCTTGCCACTCGCGCCGAAACTACTTCTTTTCTTCGCATGTGATTTAATATTTTATCCGTCACTGCTAAAATTCGTGTAATTTGAACCTTGACAAATCCCACCGTCACGATATACGGAAAAACTGGTTGAAGTGATATATTTCACTCTATTTTGAATAAATTGACATAAAACAAAGATCGAAAGTTTCAATTTGAGTGGATTGTGTGGATGGCATACCGTTCTCTCAAGATACTAATGATTTCTGCTTCTCTAGAATTTTCCAATGCACAGTTGAATGGTATGTCTTGGAATAATTAAGCAGAAGAGGAACTGCTATTTAATCTCATGTGGCATCATTTAATTAGAGAATAATTGTGAGCTGGCATATAAGTTGTGCGGATACAAATTAGGCATATCTGCCTTTTCAATAATTCCAATGGGCATAGGAGAGGAGCATAAAAGGGCAATTTGCACAGAATAAATCGCCAGTTATCGCATTGTCACATCTCCTTTCCTTAAATTACCCGAATTTTCATCTAATTGTGTGCAGAGACGCAAAGTTGAGATGATTGTTCGTGCAATTTAACAATGCTGATGGAAATCTGGTGGCCTGACCATTGAATCCACATGATCTCGGTCGTGTCTCATGCCTCTTGTGTGCCTTCCCTTTCGCAGTTGCACGACGCGCTACATCGGGCCGCACTGTGAAGTCAATAATCCGTGCCACACGGGGCCGGTGCCGCGGTGTCAGAACGGGGGCACCTGTGCACCCGTGCTGAAGGACGGCACCACCAGCTTCACGTGCCGCTGCCCCATCGGCTTCACGGCCTCCCTATGTGAGATCCCGGAGAAGAATGCCTGTGATTCCTCGCCGTGCAGCAACGGCGGCAGCTGCGTCCTCAAGTCATTAGAGGAGTACAAGTGCATGTGCGCCCAGGGATACACGGGCGTGCACTGTGAGAAGCAGAATCTATGTTCCTCGTCGCCATGTCGCAATGGGGGCACGTGCACATCCCTGCCGGGTGGCGCCTTCAAGTGCCACTGTCCGGTGGGCTTCAAGGGCGCCACGTGTGAGGAGGACGTGGAGGAGTGCCAGAAGAATCCCTGTCGACACGGCGGCAAATGCACCAACACGCACGGATCTTATCAGTGAGTACTTCCTTACTTTCCTTCACGTTGTGTTATCAATTAGGAAGGAATGCGAAGAGGTTCCGTAATGGATTTACCATTTTTAAGACCAACTCTGAATGATTTTAGTGAAATCTAAACAGCTAGCAATTGACTTTTTTCGTAATTCCTCATGCTATATTTATACAGGTGTCATTATATGCAGAAATTAGCATAAACGCCTTTAGTTAGGGTCTCAAGACCTACCTCAATGTTTACACAGAAACTCAGCAAAGTTTCTTCAGATTTCGGTGGAGATTTCAAAGTTAATGTCAACGGCGTGTAGTGAGATTTGCACGTAGCCATGTCTTACCACTAAATTGCTACTGACACGATGCGACTGTGATTAATTGCTTCTCACCCATTTCTTCCACAGGTGCACGTGTGAGCCAGGATTCACGGGGAAGAACTGCGAATCGATGTACATTCCATGCTCACCGTCTCCGTGCCAAAATGGTGGCACTTGTCTGCAGTCAACGACAGTCTCGTACGAATGCAAATGTCCACCAGGTGAGGAATTCTGTTTGGCTTCTCTCTTCTCATCATCCAAGAATTTCACCGTGATGGGTGTTCATTTTCTGCCCATGGTGGGACATACCTGTGGTCCCTCTGTCGCGAAGTGCACTCGAGAACGGTGAACCATGTTACACTGAAGAGTATTAATTTCCATTCTTCCGCAATGATTGCTTCTTGGCAGTTTTTTTCCGAGCAGTCTCGCGGCGTTTCTTGGTAGCATGGAAAGGTAAATTAAGTACCCACCGCGCTTGCCGTGCTAAAGTGGCACAAGGGGGACTGCAGGATAATCAGTTGGGGGGTCTAGAGTGTGATATTGCTGGGCACTGAAATACCCATAATCATGGATGTTTAGCAATCGCAGAATTGTCCAAGAGCTCTCGCTATTTCATTCCAATGACTGATTGATCGTTAATTCTCTCTTCATTACAAATGAAAACATCAAATTAAGCGCCAAAGATCAACATGATCAATTGCGTAGAGGGAGATCTCAATTTGTGCAGCAGCGAATGGAATGCGCGAAGAGCGTAATGGGTTGAGTGTCGGTGAGAATTGCTATACATTGTGAGTCCAATTGAATATGAGATGCATCGCGACAGGGCAAGATACTCATAGTCATCATAATCATCTCATCATTATTATAATATAAACAGAAATTTATGGCCACATAATAACTTTCAAGGGAAATATCATCACTGATAGATATTCACCAGTGACGTATCCAGTCGGAATGATACCCACGATCAGTCCTCCGGGAGTCTGCATGTGTGAGAAATGTGGTGTGCACGGAGTCTCTCTCTGTAGCATCAATTTGTGTTATGTGTTTCATTGAGAAAATCATATTTAATGATAGTAACAGCGGTGAATTACGGTCATTGTGGTGATGGCGTCTTGTTGGCATGAGAGTATCAATTTCTTGGCAGTGTGCGTGCGTGCGAGACTGTGATGATCCTGTGATTGCTGGCTAATTCATTAGGCACTGGTCTACATATATGCGAGGAGAGACAGTTTTAACCGTTGGGGAAGATTGTCATGTCGAATGCTAAGTGTCCCAATGGGAAAAATCTTCAGCGACATCGTGCGCAAGCGAGCGACTTTAATCTTTTCCATGTTACACCACTTTCCACCAGCCGCTTTTTTCCCATTTTCTCCTCCAATGCGAGACCTCTGTGCGCGTCAGCTCCGCTCACCTTCTATATTTGGTAATTCTTAGGAATGCTAATGGGTGGCGGGAAAAAAGGCGATGAAGAAGAAGAAGAAGGGAAAATGCACTACAAATATTCCTATTTGCTATTTATTTATTTATTTTCTTATTTAATGGGACACCATATTTGATGAAATTATTGCCAAGTCAGCCCGAGAGATGGTCACTGCGAGTGATCGTGGACAACAAAAAGTCTTCATCTCCTCTCTCAAAGTGGAGATATAACACTCGATAGGCGATCGTTAGCATCAGTGTGCGACGTCGACTTGGGAGGATTTTATGTGAAGCTGTCACGGGCGGTATTAGTCTTTTAGGGGGCGGCAAAAGGTGGAAAATTCTCTCTATAATTCACAAGATAATGATCTCTCCGCCAGTCTCTTAATAGCGGCACAATCTAATGAATATTTATTGTGTTACACACAATAATGCTGCAAATGATCATCGAAATCAACTCCGGTTCGCATTGGAATTCACTCGCAATGCAAAATTATTGTCAGGCCGCCTAATAGGAATTCCTAGGTGCCTCAGCAAAGTTCATTTCCTCTTATTTATGATTTTACGCGCGCACTCGTTTCATCTGAAACTGCGTAAACAATGCGATAGACCAATTATGGGCCAGTGAATTGTCCTCTGCAGAATGACTTCTTTAAGCGTCATTTTGGTCAATTGACACCGCAAATTGAGTGATATTTGAGAGCAGTTTCTTCAGCAAGGCGCGCAGTCAGTGATCATAAAAACAAACAGAAATCCTACATATTTTACAACTTGATTCAAATTCAACGCATGAATTACTGTCCCTAATTAGCTTCAATAATTTCTCGTGGGTAATTATAGCAGTGCAATTGCAGGATGTAATTAATAATGGACAGGTTCTAGACAACTTTTCACCTTGGCTAAATATTGATTTGCCGTGTTTTGCATAAAATTGTGAGGTGCTATATCACCTTGATGTGACAAGAGAATCGCCCCCGATTGATCTCTTTCTCTCCCTCTCTTTGCCATGTGATGATCGTGTGGCTCCTGATGATCTCGTTTCGTCACCGCGCCTGCACGGAGCAAAGAAGCCACTTTGTTCTTGTGCGTTTTCATGTATTTGGTTGGACATTGGTTTTTCTGTCCGCCAGTGGCTGCCGATGATGTCGTGTCGTTGGGAAATCACATCGGCAACAGCGGTGCTGGGTATCTTTGTGGGATACTTCTTCCATTGGTAGGAGGAGAGCACACACTCGCCCAGTTGAGATGTTAAGTGGTTTCTTGCTGGTACGCGAGAGAGATCTCGGCCGCTGCTGCTTCACTTCTTCGGCGAGGTGAGAGAGATGAATGCGGACACTTGTGTGCGCGCTGTGCAGAGAGAGAGAGAGAGAGAGGATGTGGTGGTGGTGCGCTCTCTGAGTCACTTTATCTCTTTCCTGTCCTTCCTGGAGAGCTGTGTGACCACAGAGCAGCGCTTCCCATCCCGCACGCCAAATACATCCACGAGGCAGCACCACACCACGATCTCTCCTCTCTTGTGCGATCCCCGAGAGATTGGCATGAGTGTGACTGGGAGGCGAGATGCCGTCTCAGTGCCTGGGTACATGGCTTTGGTGGGTGCGAAAGCGAGATGGCAGCAGACAAGCCGGTTTGGTGTGGCTCAAACTTCCTTTATGAGCAGATATGAGACCGTGGGAAAGAATGCCTAGCGGGGCCCATCGAGCAGCCGCGCGTCTATGATACACTCTCTCTCCATACAAATCGCACCCAGATGTGTGTGAGTGCACTCGGCTGTTTTTCAATTCTCCGTATGCGCTCTCTTTGGGGTCTCCTGCGATGAAAAACACACGGAGGAGTGAGAAAGAGAGGAGAACACATGTTCATAATTTTATATGTTTATGTAATGCTGATGGAAATTATGCTAAATTGGCTTTTTTCCTCTCCTTCTCACTATTTGATGAAAACTACATTGTCTCTCCGCGCTGTATCTCTATTGGATGATCATTGGTAAAATGGGGAGGCTGGCTAAAGGATTTGACTCCGGCAGTCTACTGCCACTTGGCCAGAGATGGTAGATATACCCTAATGTGACAATTATGGTTGGCTCATCAGGAAGTGTGCATCTGTAGCTTTATGATTTGACTTATATGCTCATAGTTTACTCAAAAACATATTTTTAAACACTGGGTAGATTGAATTTCTTAACTTCTCTCGCTTTTCATTAGCTGATTTCAAATAACAGTTTTTTTGTTGTTTGTTGAAAATGGAGAAAACAAAAATTATGCAAACGATGTTCCTGTCTAAAAATACCACAAAATGATACCTTTGCTAGTGATATTTTGAGACAGTGTCAATTTTTAGTCCAAAATACGAAATGCTATCCCTAACCATTAACAAGGTTTCGAGTTTATGGGTTAATGACCACTATGAATTCGACCATTCCCGAATTTTGTCGATACAATTTCATATCTCTGCGTCCAATGTTTTAATTCAATACGCTCGATTGTTTATAAAGTTTCTTTCGTATGTCAAAAAACAACATCCTATGATCACAATACAGTGCAGAACAACATGTGGATAAATCTGCAAAGTCGCTACTGTGTGCAATGGTAAAGCGTGATCGGCAAATGAATAAGATTTTGGCAAACAGCGGAAAGCGCTACATTGTGATGTTGATCGGTAATCAATGCAGAAGGCATTCCTAATTGCTGGGAGAAGTGAAACTGAGGTGATCCTCGGGTGTGGGCGAGACAGAATCAGCATTTCCAGACCACATGGTTCAATTAGTGGGAAATTCATCCTGCGATCGCGAGAGTCTTCTTATTGTTCCCACAGTCTGAAAGTATACGATCAAGTGGAGATCTTTCCTTTAATTACATCTCGTTTATGGAAGAATGCCAAGTGGTGTGTGTGAGTATGCTTGGGCTCTTTTTATATTACCTCGTTGAGTATGGCTTTGATATTATGGTATGGGAGAGAACAGAGAGAATGTGAATCAAATGTCTTTTATTTGCTACAGCCGAGATGCTGGTGTTGTTCGGGTTCGGTAGGGTCTCTGCACACCTTTTACCGAAGCATTGGGGGACTGTTGCCAAATTTCGAGATGGCGAGAGAGAGAGACACATATGAGCGTGGAAGAGTGGAGGAAATTGGGCAAAAGACGGCGAGAAAACGAAAGATCACACATGAGGTTTTTTCCTCGTCGTCGAGTTGAAGTCTTTCGCTGGCGAAGATGGTTTTTTTTCGGGTGTGTGTGCGTGCGTGTGACGGGGCAAAAGACGGCGCGCGAAGAAGATGGTAAAGGAGAGGAGAGATGGAAGAACAAGAGTAAAAAAGAAGGCGAAGAAGAGCAAAATTTCCGTCGAGATTTCTGGTTCCCCTGAGCAACACACAAATTGCTACTTGGCCGAATGCTCGAAAGGTTGAAGATGGAGTCCGGGGAAAGAAACCCTCTCTCGCTATGCACATTTTTGCGTGACTCAATCACAACAATTCCAACTGAAATTGCCTCGAAATTTTGTGACCCTTTCGGTATGATTGAAGTGAGTCGGGAGGACCTTTCTTTCCTCCGATTGAAAATTGTCTCACGCTCTTCCCTCGCGGGCTCACAAGTGTTTTCCCATTTCCCCGTGATTCTCTGCCACAAATCCCACGAATAATTGTGAACAGCTGTTGATGAGAGGGGCCCTCTTGAATGCCTGTCAGACACTGGCTTGCATCAGATGCACAGAGTGGATTTTCGTACGATGAGTGAAGTGGAATAAATATCCTTGTCGCGTTGTCAATACAAATTGCCTCGCTGGTGACCAGATACGCTCCGCCAATGCAGGATGGCGAGATACAATCGATGTCTAATGAACATGTTCTCAGTCTCACGTGCCTTCAACACTTTTCAATGCGTCCCATGCAGTTTTGAGTTGACAATTTGTCTGTCGATTGTCACTGCATTTCAATTTGCAAATACACTTTCACCGCACTTCGTCTTAGATAATTCATTTTTAATTAATTGCCTCAATGGAAAAAGTTCACCTTTAGCTTTGGCGAATCGTAAATATCTTGGCGGATGGCGTTGTATAAATCTCGTTTTGAGAGTGATGAGATTCGGCTCAACCTTATTATTTTCTTTTTATGGTAAATGTATAATTGGATGAGGGCTGTATATTTTTTTCACAATACAGTCAAAACACTGCATTCAGTGATATAATTATGTGGTGCACTTCAGTTTATGATGGCATGCATTTCTAAATCATGTTGAATTGTCCCGGGAAGTAGACAATTGGTCAGAAATATGATTGCTCAACGTAGCACGAATCATATGAGGTCAAAAGACTTCAGGTTGGGTGCACAAACAAGATCCCCTACTAGGCACAGATTTAAGCTCTCTGTGAACGGTTATATTAGCGCAGTGAGAGGCTGCACGGGCCCCAATCTCCCCTAATTCAACTTTCTTCTATATCCTCTGCTGAAAATATACTCATCAGCATAGGAGTGGTTTTTGGGAAAATAATAAAATACATTTCATGATTTTTTCATGCAGAATAGATATGTGAAATACAATCTTTTTCACTAAATTGCTTCTCAATAGCTTCTTCAGTCATGTCAATAAATTATTTGCATTCTATATTTTGCGGTCAGCAATTTGACAGACGGCAAGTCTTTCTTCAAAATAAACGGAAATATTTGTGTCTGGAATATTAGTGTCATATAAAAGTGTTTGAGGTAGTTTAAAATCAAAAATTGGTCATTATCATAAATCTGCCATATAAATTTCTGAGAAATACAATCTGGACAATATAATAATTCTGCATACGGGTGGCCAATCCCGAGCATGTTTTTGTCACAACTTGTTATGAATAATAACGCCGATGATGTCATGTGGGCGAGAAGAGGGTGGAAGAAGAGAGTGAGGAAATGCCCGGCGTGTCCTGTCGCGAAAGTACGGTCAGGTCACTTCAGTGGTCACAGAAATTGGCTGAGGGCTCCGGGATTGGGGGTCTGGGAAGAGAGCCCGCGCTTTACTGGCTGGTTCAAGTGGTTCACGTGTTCAGCGATGTCAAGCGCACAGTTAAAGGCGACCATCATCGAGAGAAAGAGAACATGTTTAAAATTTTAAGTCAACTCTATACGCCATTCCACGAATTTTACGTTTTTTATGTGCGCCATGATCATACTTTTTTCTCCTCCTTCTTTTGGCCTTTATGAAGCATTCTTGAGGCACTGGACTCTCTTCTCTTGGGGCGACATTTAATAGCCGACATCGCGATGGTGTGACACAGACCAAAAATGATGGCTGGCGGAGAAGAAAAAGAGTCCAACATTCATCACGCATCGCCTTTTCCAACTCATAAACACTCAAATATTTCCTCTTGGGGCATTTTAATTGGAAAATTGCCTCATGGACAATTATTGCTGGTGGAATCTTGTTCTCTCTCCCAGGGATTTGGACAAATCTCAAAGTCCGCTTATCCCTTTTGCATTCCGCACTCCACTTTGCCGCCCTTCGCGCGCCTCTCCTTGGGCCAGGAAATTGCCACCATTGCGGAATAGAGGTTTGTCATGTTTGTTCTTGGAAGAGTCATTGAACCAAATTGTCTAATTAGACACGCAAAGTACAAAAAGACGCCTGGGCCACTTATGGTTTGTTTCATGTGGTTTCTTTGCTGTGTTGCTCCGTTGTTCTGAAGCATTAGGCAAAATGTGTAATTAAATTAAAATAATTAGAAGACCTCTCAAGGCGACAACCACAGCTCGATGCTTTTTAGCATGTTTTGGCCAAAGTTATCGCTGGGCGTTGATTGAGAACAATAGTTGCGGCGCGCGAATATTGGTTTCAAGTGGCCACGCAGATGAAATGAATGAATTTTTATGAATAAATTACTTTATCTCGAACACGGCGGTTTGGAGCTTGTCCTCTGACCACCATCATTCCGCTCGTGGCTTCGGTGGGAAGTTTGTTAGCACGTCCATTGAGTTTCTTGGACAATTGCGCCTTTGTAGGAAGTGGGTTTTAACTGATAAATTGTCACACATTGAGAAAATGTGCTAAATAATCTATGAGAGCGGTGTAGAGGGAAGAGAAAGGTGCCAATAAATGCAATTCAGAGGATGGATTTCATCTCCCCAACCTATCCGATGTACCTTTCTTCGGTGCGGTCATTGTGTTTTCTCTGCAATCTCAGGCCGCGCGCCATAATCCGCAGAAAAGCCACTCGGCTAATGCAAACCCGTGGCGAGGTATTGCGGCAAATGCTCTTTTTAAAATGATAATGAAATGCACAAATGATGTCGAATGCCACAAGGCTGTGGTATTTGCTGACTATATTCACCAAATTGGTGACTAACATATTGATATTTCCGGAGAAAATGCAGGTTTTTCTGATAAGTGACCCATTTGGTGATTGAGAGGAGTTTGTATGTAAATTTGTTGTAATGAAACAACATATCTTATTAGTTGGTATTTATCATTTGCAGATCGTTAGCCTTATGTGGCTTTTTGGATAATGTTGCCGAGTGATTTCTCAGTATATTTCAGATAAAGTTTCGATTACGCTTTGCGCTCGAGGTATTTAAGATTTTATGATCAGTTTTGATGGAGCATTTCGCGTCATTAAACATCATAAGAAACTGCTTAAGAGAAGGAATATAGCCTGATAACATGTACAGATAATTCTTTGCAAGGAATTGTAGTCTTTGATCCTCACGTAAAAAAGCGTATTTTTCACCAGATTATTTGACCAGTCGCTTTTATGACTCACCCAAATAAAATAAAATAAAATTCATACTGCTTCAAGTGATTCGAGATTCAATCCCACATTTTTTTTCGTAAATTAGCATTAGGAAAGACAGGAATTAATAACAAAAAGCTAAGACAAAACCTACAATAATAATTGTATAGTTATAATTTTTTTCGGGACACTAATTGAAGGTTGCGTAAAATATCTTTCCACTCTGTGGCATTCATCTTGGGAGAGTGTAATAAAATTCGCCTTCATTATTACTCGAGTATGACCCATAGGAATTCATTAGAAGCCTCGCTTCAGATGATTTTAACACGATCTTCAGAATATTAGGTTCACATTTGTGAACCATGATAAAAGTGGGTATTTTCTTTCTTTGTTTGACGTAAATACTGCAACATTCTGCCACTTATTCGCTGATGCTGGTGTGGTAATTAAAACTGTGTGAAACATGGAAAAAAAATCCATATTCAAATTCTTCTGCAGAAGAAGCTTGAGGTATTGTGTTTTCACACCTTTGATTTGTATTTCTTATTCTCACGGTGAACCTTGGATTGGCTCTTAATTGGTTACTTTCTACACAAATTCCCTATATATCTTAATTAGGCGTAAATTAGGCACAGAATTACTGACGAAGGAGCACTTCTGGCCGAGACTAATTGGTTGGCCTTCTATCATTCGCAGGTTTCGAGGGGAAGAATTGCGAGGAGAACATAGACGATTGCCCGGGAAACCTGTGCCAGAACGGCGGAACCTGCATTGATGCTGTGAATGCGTACCGTTGCAAGTGTCCACCCAATTTCACGGGAGATTTCTGTGAGGCCGACATTGACGAATGTGCCCTGAGGTGAGAGACAAATTGCCCAAGACTTCCCACCCTTTTCTCCCCAACTTACAAGGCGCTCTTTGTTGCTTCTTTCCAGACCATCTGTATGCCAAAACGGTGCCACCTGTACAAACACGATGGGCAGCTACTCCTGTATATGCGTGAACGGTTGGACGGGGCCTGATTGCAGTGTCAACATCGATGACTGCGCGGACGCGGCATGTTTCAATGGGGCCACGTGTATAGACGGCGTGGGGAGCTTCTATTGTCGCTGCACACCCGGAAAGACGGGCCTGCTGTGCCACCTGGATGACGCTTGCACATCAAATCCATGTCACGCCGATGCTATCTGTGACACGAGCCCTATTAATGGCTCATTCACGTGCTCCTGCGCGTCCGGATATAAAGGCGTTGATTGTTCTGAGGACATCGACGAGTGCGATCAGGGATCGCCGTGCGAACATAATGGGATCTGTGTCAACACTCCCGGATCTTTCGCCTGCAACTGCTCCCAGGGCTTCACGGGACCTCGCTGTGAGACCAACGTGAACGAGTGTGAATCCCACCCTTGTCAGAACGATGGTAGTTGTCTGGACGATCCAGGAACCTTCCGGTGCGTCTGCATGCCCGGATTCACTGGAACACAGTGTGAAATCAACATCAACGAGTGCGAAAACGATCCGTGCCTCAACGGTGGTGAATGTCGAGATCTTATTAACGGCTTTAAGTGCACCTGCGCCATTGGATTCACAGGCTCTCGATGCCAAATCAACATTGATGACTGCATGTCACAACCGTGCAGAAATGGCGGGATTTGCCATGACTCCATTGCGGGCTACACATGTGAATGTCCTCCAGGATACACTGGATTGTCCTGCGAGACGAACATCAACGATTGTCAATCCTCGCCGTGTCACCGCGGAATATGTATCGATGGGGATAATTCCTTCACGTGCCAGTGCCATGCCGGGTACACAGGATACTTGTGCCAAACGCAGATCAACGAGTGCGAGTCCAATCCTTGCCAGTACGGCGGACACTGCGAAGACCTGGTAGATGGGTATCGCTGTCGGTGCTCTCCGGGAACTTCAGGAATAAATTGCGAAGTGAATGTGAATGAGTGTCACAGTAATCCCTGTCGCAATGGAGCCACCTGCATCGATGGCATTAATCGCTACACATGCCAATGCGTCCCGGGATTCACAGGACTTTACTGTGAGACTAACATCAACGAATGCGCCTCTGAGCCTTGTGCCAATGGTGGCGTGTGCATGGATCTCGTGAATGCCTTCCGATGCGAATGCCCGCGTGGCTACTACGATGCCAGGTGTCTCAGCGATGTGGACGAGTGTGCCTCGAATCCTTGCCTGAATGGTGGTCGGTGTGAGGATGGAGTGAATCAATTCATCTGCCACTGTCCTCCAGGATATGGTGGGAAGCGGTGTGACATCAACATAGATGAATGTGGGTCAAATCCCTGCCAGCATGGCGGGATATGTCGCGATGGACTGAACTCGTATTCCTGCCAGTGCATGCCTGGATATACAGGAACCAATTGCGAAGTGAACATTGACGATTGCGTTAACAATCCTTGCCGCAATGGAGGCTCATGCATTGACATGGTGAACGGCTACAAATGTGTCTGTCGCGTGGCTTATACTGGACAAAATTGCGAGCTGAAGATGGATCCGTGCCAGCCCAATCACTGCCATAATGGCGCCAAATGCACTCCCAGTTCCAATTACCTAGACTTCTCCTGCTCCTGCACAATAGGCTACACAGGACGTCTCTGCAATGAGGACATCAACGAGTGTGCTCTGTCCTCGCCATGTCGCAACGGTGCGACGTGTCGCAATGTACCAGGTTCCTATCAATGCCTCTGCGCCAAGGGTTACGAGGGACGCGATTGTACAGTCAACACCGATGATTGTGCCTCGTTTCCCTGTCAGAACGGCGCACAGTGTTTAGACGGGATTGGGGACTACACGTGTCTGTGCCTGAATGGCTTTGAGGGAAAGCATTGCGAGGTGGACATCAACGAATGCCTGTCTGGTCCGTGTCAGAATGGCGCCACGTGCACACAGTACGTAAATTCCTACACTTGCACTTGTCCTCTGGGATTCTCAGGAATGAACTGCCAGACCAACGATGAGGACTGCACGGAGAGTTCGTGTATGAACGGTGGGACGTGCAATGATGGAATTAATACGTACACGTGTTCCTGCTTGCCTGGATTCACGGGTGCAAATTGCCAGTACAAGATTAACAAGTGTGATTCGCAGCCGTGCAAAAATGGAGCCACGTGTCATGATGATCAGGGAAATGACTACTCCTGCCACTGTTCGTATGGCTACACCAGCAAGCAATGCACGGATTACGTGGACTGGTGCTCGCAGAATCCCTGTGAGAATGACGCCAAGTGTGTTCAGCGCGAGAACGTCTTCCAATGCCTCTGTGCCACGGGATGGACGGGAAAACTGTGCGATGTGGAAATGGTGTCCTGCAGTGATGCTGCCATTAGGAAGGGCGTGAAGGCGAAGAGTCTATGCAACAATGGGACTTGTGAGGACATCGGGAATTCCCATCGTTGTCACTGCCACACTGGCTATACAGGCAGTTATTGCCAGAAGGAGATCAACGAGTGCGAATCTGCCCCATGTCAGAATGGAGGAATTTGCAAGGATCTTGTGGGAGCGTATCAGTGCATCTGCCCGAAAGGCTTCCAAGGACAGAACTGTGAACTCAACATCGACGACTGCAAGCCGAATCCGTGCCAGAATGGTGGCACTTGCCATGATCTCGTGAACAATTTCAGCTGCTCTTGTCCACCGGGAACTCTAGGCATCATCTGTGAGATCAACCATGATGATTGTGAACCCGGAGCATGCCACAACAATGGCACGTGCGTTGACAAAGTGGGAGGATTTGAGTGTCGTTGTCCTCCTGGATTTGTGGGCACGCGATGCGAAGGGGACATTAATGAGTGCCTATCGAATCCATGCTCCAATCCTGGTACTTTGGACTGTGTTCAGCTCATCAATAACTACCACTGTAACTGCAAACCGGGTCACATGGGACGCCACTGTGAGATCAAGGTGGATTTCTGTGCACAATCGCCTTGCCAGAACGGAGGAGTTTGCTCAACTCGCCAGAATGGACATCACTGTGTCTGCTTGGATGGCTTCTATGGGAAGAACTGCGAATTCTCCGGTCATGACTGTGACTCTAATCCCTGCCTCAATGGCATTTGCGTGATTGCCGACAGCGGTGGTTATCGGTGCGAGTGTCCTCTGGGCACGGCTGGTGTGAATTGTGAGATTGATACTCTAGATGAGTGTCAGTCCAGTCCATGCAAGAATGGAGCGAGATGTGAGAACAAATTGGGAGACTTCGAGTGCCTCTGCCCACCAAAGTATCCTGGGAAGATGTGTGAAATGTACGATCCCACTTACCGTGGCTGGTACAATTCCAATGCCATTGGATCATTCGCCACGGACCTGAAATACCAGCAAGAGCAGTGCATCAAGCGCGGATGTCGTGAGAAGAAGGGAAACTTCATCTGTGATGAAGAGTGCAACACTTACGCCTGCAACTTCGACGGCAATGACTGCTCTCTGGGCATCAATCCCTGGCGAAACTGTACAGCGAAGATCAGCTGTTGGCAGGTGTTTATGGATGGGAAGTGCGATGAGGAGTGCAACAATCCTCAATGTCTCTTCGATGGTCACGACTGTGAGAAGAAACTGTCTCAGTGCAATCCCATTTACGATGGCTACTGCAGCAAACACTACGCCGATGGATACTGTGACTACGGATGCAACAATCCGGAATGCAACTGGGATGGACTGGATTGTATCAATGGGCCGCCGGATTTGGCGCAAGGAGTAATCTCAGTGATACTGCTGATGGACATGGACACGTTCCAGGAGAAGAAGGTGGCCTTCCTGCGAGACATGGGCCATCAGTTGAGGACAACAGTGCGGATTCGCAAGGACAAGAGTGGGAATGAGCAGGTGTACCGCTGGATTGGCATGTCACCAAATGGAATGCTGCAGAACACACCCGTAGGCCGAGTACACAACGTTGTATATTCCGAAGGCATTGGCGATTCAGGAGTGCAAGTGTTTCTCGAGATAGACAACAGGAAATGCGTGAAGACAGACGACGGGGAGTGCTTTACAACCGCAAATGAAGCAGCAGAGTTCCTCGCTGCCACTGCATCAAAGAGAATTGTTCCGCAAAATTTCCCAATTTACCAAGTGCGAGGCATCATTGAACCAGATGGTCCCTTCAGTCCCACCAATTCCGAGAGCAACAAGTATGTGATCCTAGGTGCAATCGCTGTGATTGTTGTGGGATGCTTGTTTGGAGTGTTGATCACGACCAAGAGGAAGCGCGCCAATGGAATAACGTGGTTCCCTGAAGGATTCTTCAGTGCCAGCACTGGGCCGAGGAGGCAGTCGCGAAGACGCGGTCCAGATGGCCAGGAGATGCGCAATCTGAACAAGAACAGCTCCATTCCGTGCATTGACATGGACATGAATAGTGCCCACATGGGACATTCGCAGCAGTGGTCAGACGATGAGTCAGATATGCCCCAACCGAAGAGGTTGCGGCCCTGCGAACAGGGCTATTCGTCTGATCACACAGTTGTAACTGACTACGAGGAGACAGAGCCGCGAGTGTGGTCTCAGCAGCATCTGGAGGCAGCTGACATCCGCATCCCACCGTCGATGATGACTCCGCCGGCTCACCACGACGGGAAGAACGATGTGGATGTGAGGGGCCCGTGTGGAATGACACCGCTCATGGTGGCCGCCATTCGTGGAGGTGGAGTGGATACAGGAGAGGATGCCGATAGCTATGATGACTCGACGGCACAGATGATCTCGGACTTGTTGGCGCAAGGGGCGGAGATTAATGCGACAATGGAGAAGACCGGAGAAACGGCTCTTCATCTGGCAGCACGCTACGCTCGAGCGGATGCTGCCAAGAGACTCCTGGATGCCGCATCAGCGGATGCCAATTGTCAGGACAACACCGGCAGGACGCCGCTGCACGCTGCAGTTGCTGCTGATGCGAGAGGTGTGTTCCAGATTCTGCTCCGCAATCGGGTGACGAATCTCAATGCCAGGATGCACGACGGCACAACTCCGCTGATCCTGGCGGCCAGATTGGCCATTGAGGGTATGGTGGATGATTTGATAAATGCCGACGCAGACATCAATGCGGCGGACAATTCGGGCAAGACGGCTCTTCATTGGGCAGCCGCCGTGAACAACGTAGAAGCGGTGTATGTCCTGTTGCAGGCAAATGCCAACAGGGACGCTCAGGATGACAAGGAGGAGACGCCGCTGTTCCTGGCGGCTCGGGAGGGCTCCTTTGAGGCGGCCAAGGCACTGCTGGACCACATTGCCAGCAAGGAGATCCCAGATCACATGGAGCGCCTGCCGCGAGATGTGGCCAACGAGCGCAAGCACAAGGACATTGTGCGCCTCCTGGACGAGTATGTGCCGAGGAGTCCACAGCATCAGATGGTGACGGTGGTCAACAATGTGATGATCGGATCACCGAATCACACGCAATTGATCTCGCATCCAACGATCATCACCACAGGGAGGCCGGGCAAAGCGAAGAAGCGCCAGAAGCCGCTCGCCAATCCGGCCAGTCCGGATGTGGTGGAGAGCAACGGCGGAGCGTCGGTGCGCCGGAAGAACAGCGTGAAGAAGGGTGCGTCCGCTAAGAAGGGGCAGGCCATCAATGACATCCAGCTGTCGGACGGAGGACTGAGCTCGGTTGAGTCACCGCTCACCAACATTCCCAGTCCCTACGACACGGCCAGCCTCTACTCCAACACACTCACGGTGCCGCAATCCAAGGAGATTCTGGGAACGACAAAGCAGCCGCCCAGCTATGAGGATTGCATAAAGGTGAGATCTTCGGGATTGTGTGTCTTGAGGATTGGATAACAAATGTATTGTTTTTGCTTTCAGAGTGCAAGATCGATGCAGTCGCTGCCGAACATCAATTTCGAGAACTACGGATACTCTCTGGGATCTCCCTTCCCCGAGATGATTACGTCCCAGAGAGGTGGTATCCAGATTGGAGATCAGGGACTCAGTCCGCCGTACTCCAATCACTCTCCACCGCATTCTGTACAAAGTAACTTAGCGCTCTCCCCGCAAGGCTACGTGGGTGAGTATCTGGGATGAGTTTCTGGAGAAGTAGCCTGCATATTCTGACCCTGACGTGTTTCCTTTAGGTTCTCCGTCTCCTGCTAAGTCTCGACCGAGTCTGCCGACGTCACCCACACACATTGCGGCGATGCGACACGCCACCCATCAAAAGCACGGAAGTAATCAGCCAGGAGGCAGTGGAATGGTGGCCAACGGGCAGATTCTCAGTGCGTCACTGTCCCAGAGTCTAGCCAATCCCATAATGCCCATTCAGCTGGGCAATTTCGAGTTCAATGCGACAGGATTGGAGATGGCGGGATTCTGCAGTCCTCCAGGTGAGTTCAACACTCTTGGCATAATCTCTTCATTTGCTCATCATGCTGTTTTATTTTCAATGTCTGAGCAGCACAAGGAACATCGGCGTCGTCCCAGGGATCGTCCCCGATGAGCAATAGTCAGTCCGTTCAGTCGCCAGGCACGTCCTCGAGCGTCAATATGGGCAGTCTGGCGGGCAGTGTGGGCTCCAGCAGTGGACAGCCGCAGCCTCCGCCCCAGCCACAGCCCCACCAGGCGCCGCAGCAATCGTGCTCGTCCTTCCATCAGTACTTCACGCCGCCCAGTCAGCACTCCGGAGGCGGGACGCCGCAGCATCTCGTGCACACGCTCGACAGCTACCCGACACCGTCGCCCGAGTCGCCGGGAGACTGGTCCAGCTCCTCGCCACACTCCAACTCAGACTGGTCGGAGGGCGTCCAGTCGCCGGCCAACAACGTGTACGTGACGGGCGGCCATCAGGCCAACAAGGGCTCCGAGGCGATCTACATCTGAACGCCGGGCCGCTTAAAGACAAGATAATCTCTATTTTAGTTTTCGCGCAACGTGTAAGTTGTTTATCTAATTATTATAAATATTAGCATTTGATATGATAGTTTGTCGACTATTTCTAAAGCATAAGAACTGAGCATTTGCAACAAATCGCTATTGAGAATCGTTGTAATTTCATCAATTTTATCAGTAGAGTTTTAAACATTTAAGATTTTACACACAAAATCGCCAATTGTGAAACGAATTTGGCTCTTGTGATTTTTTCAAGGGCTCTCACAAGACAATACAAATAAAAGGTAATTCTTCCGGGTGACAATCAATTTTGTGGACAGAGTTGAAAGAGAGGAAAAATGCATTTACTTATTCAAAAGAAAAACATACAGGATCACATCGAGAAAGCCTCTAAGGAAAGGTAATTTTATAGTAATAACTAGACTGATTAAAAAATTATAATATAAACTTTTTATAAAGACAAGACATTCAAGACAATTTTTATTACATTTATGTACATATTTAAAAATTTGTTAGGAGACAGATTTGTTGTAAACACAAAAGCCTAGTGAGTAAGAAAACAAGTGAGAAGAATGAGAATCATAAAATATTCGTATATTTTTTTTATAAGAAATTTTATACTGTAGATGTGAGAGACTAGAGTAATTTTATTCATGTTTCCGATTATAATATCGACATAAAAGACATAATTTAAAGTAATTTAATAATTATATAGCATATTTTGAGTAACGTGCGTCAATAATTTTATTTAATTAATTTTGATAAATGAAAGAAAAATTCTCTAATTAACTATCAGTGTAATTGTGTGCAATTATTCTACCTATTTTCATTCTTATTTTTTTCGCCCCTTCAAAACAAAATATTCTGGCCAACGAACAATAGAACAATAGAATTTCATCGGCTCTCTTCATTCTATGAGACCGGTAAAAGAAGACATGGAAGAAGCAAGTAAACAACACCGAAATTCTCCATATATAGTAGATAAGCGAGGGTTTCATTCTCATTTTTTATTTGGTTAAAATAAAACGTAAAATTTTACGTAGATGCTGATAATTATTGTACAATACAATTTAGATATTGTAATAAAAATATTTTTATTGAGTAATAATTAAAATATGTCTTTCACTATACACGCACGCTTGAATGTACCAAAACTTAATCCGTGAACTGTGGTTTTCTTCGGGTTTGAGTCTGCGCTGACAGCAAAAGTGAATTTGGAGGGAAATACATATATTTTAATAATATTGTTATCTGTGTATTCTTTTATGTACTATTTACAACTCATATATGTTTCAATTTACTCATATTTTAATATTTTCCGTCACTTCTCATCCCTTGTTTCAAAGAAAATTGCATTGCAAAATATTTCATCAACACCTCCGCCCATCAATAAATGGTGTAATTGAGGGAAAACGACATTTTTCCCACATCTATTAAAAGTTTGGGAAAACTTTCTGACGTTTGACACAAAGTTTCAATTAGTTTTATAATCACAAATCGTTCCCTTCCCAACTGCAAGTTCAAAAGTTAATGCACGTGTCGAGTTGAACATTGAAGAAGAGCTCTAATTGAGGGTTCTTTTCCTCCCCACGCAATAGTTCAAGCAATAGTTACAGTACTCCACAATGCATAACTTCCGCTCCGATTTAAATGCGGTTTCCTGCCACACTCGTGTGAAAATTCATGCTCGTTGGTGGTCGAAGATGATGACGCGCGGGAAAATGAGCATCGTGTGGAGTAGAAAGACCGTGATAATGACTTTTCCAGTGCTGAGAAGGGAGAAACAGAGCAAATCGGCACATTGGCAATAAAATGGGTAAGTGTAGTGGAATTTTTACTGCTTCCTGAAGAATTTTCTACCGCGCTCGTTCATCCATGCTAGAACTCTCATTTTCCTGGGATTCGAGTTGAGCGGAGAGGATTTGTAGATGTCGAAAACACTAATTTATGTTGATTCTCAGTCACTATTTTTCGCTTCCTTTGAGTATCTTATTCTTTTGAGCAGAATTTAGAAGGCAATTAGATTCAGTTGCATATTTTTAAAAGCTTTGTACTTTGAATTGTATGTTTTCAATCCTAATCTAGGACTATTTCAGTCGCAGCCCTGCTCCTCTCTCAGCTGGGGATTCATCCCTAACGGGTGGCTTCGGGCGGCCACGAGGGGAACCGACGAAGCCCCACAACTGAGTAGAGGGAGTAGGTTTCTATGGAAGCGCAGCATCCCATCGTCACCACCCCAGGCTTTGCCACCCGTGATCGAGGGTAGACAACAAAAGCCACTTCAGTCTCGCAGCATCCGAAGCTCCGAGGAGACGCTTTGCGCTTTCGCTCGCGTGCCCAGCAAGCGTGAAGTCTCCTGTGAAGTGCTTGAGAGCCACTCAGACGCCAAATCCTGGATTACGGGTTCAGAGTGGAAAGTTTTTGGTGATAAGGGCGTTCCACCAGGACGCACAAAACAATTGGAATTTACCACCGTTCTGTGACACTCCTTCCAGTCACATACCATCGAGAGTGGAGGAATCTCATAAGCTTGTCGAGGCCACGAAATCTCCCCAGACAGAGGACATTCCTCTGGGAATTTTTTTGCTAAGCAAGTATGTTAAAACACGCACTCATCCTCTTTATCGCGCCTATTATTTGGGCTATGATGGATAATAGCCCGTCACAAATTGTATTTATCAACTTTTCCAAAAAGATGCTAGAAAGGCAAAATGGGTAAAATACGTAGGAAAATCATCAATTTCTCCCCATCGCCTTTTTTCTACCCACCACAATACACTTCACGTCGACAAATGCTATATACCTAACCATCTATATATAGCACACAATCTGAGTCGCAAAATATTTATCAAGCCAGAGGAAAATCGGCAGCAGGAGCGGAGCTCAATTGTTTGTGAGAAATTTCCTCGAGCCTTGATTATAAGTGTGTAGAAGCTGAACAAGTTCTTTGGGCACAATTAAATATTCATAAATAAGTTTTTATGAAAACTTTCCTTACACTAAATATGTGAGTAGTTTTCATAAAACGCAAGTTCCAGAATTGCATGAATAACCATGAAAGCCATAAAAATGATATTTTCATTATGGTCTTGTGATTCTCCAGAAATTATATGGCTGAAATGGGAAATATTTCTCATCTAGGAAAATTATAAATTCAGCCAACGTTTCCACACAAATTCCCATTATTGCCATTTCCCATGAATTGAACCTATGATTAAACAATTTTGCCTGAATATTCAAGTACATATTAAAATTTCAAATACTTATCAATACAGTGCAATATCTGTCTCAATTCTGCTTTCTATGCTGTGGATAAAGCGGATAAAGTCAAACAGGAGGAGAAAAGCAAAAGCAATTATCTCCACTATAAGCATATTACTCTATGAAATATAGTGCCAATTCTCTGTGCTCTCATCGAAGACTTTTGAAAGTTGTTCACTCGGAAGTTCAGACGAGCGTTTGCATCGAAATTACCCCCGGGAAAATGTGCATAAACGAGTGGATTGGGTATATCGCTGAGGAAAGTCATTTGCCTGTCAAGGAGGGAAGATTGAGTATTCGATGCTACACCCATAAAATGCCTCACTGACCAAATAATGCGGTCCAGAATAAACTCCAGGTGTTCTCAATTTGAGAGATTATTGTTAAATCTAACCTGGGATTCCAATTCATGGCATGCATCATAATTATGTCATGGTTTACCTTCGACCACACCTGGGATTAATATCCGATGCTGTTTTCAGCAGATTTACGATCATTTAATAGAGGAATCATAATTTTACGACCCACTCATTAGCTTTCGCAGAATTGGGAAGTGCGCTCACTGAGGGGACTTTCAGGATATATTACCTTGGTGACTTTGTGGAGAGAAAACCCCTGAGGCAAGCAAAAAAGGGGGGATGGGAAGAGGAATTTAATTATCCCCGAAGTAGGGTTTGTATGTTGAGCCACATGCGAAAATGCAGATGAGACAACTGAGAATATAAAGTGGCCACGCTAGGTTAATCATGTACACTTTTCACTTATTCATGCTCTAATTTAAGGGCATCTTAAAGTCTCTTGCAACCTCCACACCACCCAGAGCGACAATCACCACACCCTTGGTTACATTCATATTTCACCACGACTAAATGGAAATTTGGATTAAAGCTACTCATACCGTTTTGCATATTTACGTACATATGCATATTTAAAGTTAAGAATCATACTTTGAAAATCACAACAATCGGAAATTCAACGTGAAATTTATGCATCAGGGAGAGAATTGCAAACATTTTGGCAGTGCAATCTTAACCAAAATAACTCCTCATGCTACACATTGCAAACACTATAAATATATTTTCCATGAATTTTGAATTCTAATTAGCACTGAGCTTCAGTGGAAAACACAATTAATCCAAGAAACAAAGCCCGAGGGTTGTTTTCTTGATTTATGACTGTTTTTCTCGTCAACACAAAAAAATAATGACACAATTAATGTCAAGCCTCTACAGAACATAATATCACTGTAGATACTTCTGCCGAGAGTTTGGTAATCCACAAATATGTATGTATGTGAAAAGCATAAAAAATTATGAGGGATTTTTTACAGACAATTTCGTTGACCTGAACGGAAAAAAGACGAAGTGAAATTGAATCCCCCGCCGAGCTTTCGGAAGCTCAATCCCAAGGGATGCGTCAACGCCCACGCTGAGGTGTTTTATCCTCTTCGTCCCAAGCAATTTGTTATCAAAAAGTCGTTTAAGATGTCACAGTGAAAACTTTCAGAAAAATTGCAAAAGTGATATTTTATAAGAATTTTTTGAATTTTTATGTGGACTTTAATCCTGTATTTCCAGAACTTTCAGTAAAGAAAACACGACCAAAAAGCAATAATATGAAAAAATGAATGTGAAGCGATACTGATATGGCAAAGTGACTTTGGAAATTCTCTTTCCGAGGAGTTAAAAGAAAAATAAATTCCTTTTGTCAATTTGGGATTTCAGCACGACAAGTATGTTGTCCGTGTAGGGAGAAAGTTCCACGAAAATTGGAAAGAATGCTTAGAAATATCATTTTTTTTCTCCGACTGTGTGTCAGTTGAGAAGATGAAAAGAGACCAATAAAAATGTAATTCAATGAAAGTGTGTCACAAAGCTACACTTCGAGGCTTTTATATTACGTAAATTATCAAATTTTTCATCGCACTCTTCTCCATTCTTCGTTTCTTTTTTCTCTCCCTATTGTAAGAATATTGTCATAACCTTTGACCTTTTGTTTTGCCTTGTGTTTTGCACATAAAATATTTTATGTTGTGTTATTCATCAAATTATTCGAACGAATTGGCTGATGAAACTATAAAAGTAATCCATAAAAGGAGATCAAAGGTGCCCTGAAGGAGGCTTTCCTCTCTTTTGTGCCATCGCGAAATAACAGACTCTGACAAAAGCTAGAGATGGAGATCAGAAATCGTGATTGTAGAGTGCCACTTGATTTCCTCCAGTTTTCTCTTTGTTCGCCAAATCGGCGAAATAGGTTTAGAGAAAAATACCCTTACGGCGATATCCGGCATGATTTCCTCTGCGTTTTGGGGAGAGGAAGCTGAAATTTGTGGTATTATTTCCTCCATGGATAAATAACACCCCAAGAACGCCCATAAGTTTATGCTGCAAAGCATAATCCTCATCCCGACGGGTTCGGCTGACCGAAGAAAGCATACGCATAGAGAGATCGCGAGTCCGAGAGTCAGTCGTGACGTGATAGAGGAAGCTGAAGCAAGCATTTGTGGCTCTAGGTAGGATTAGGCGATGCTTGTCTTCGGCAGTCTCTAAACGCAAAGGCGTCGGTCTCAGTGTAACGTGAAATGAATGTGGATCATTTCGTAGTGATTCCACATTTATATCAGAAGTGGGATAGAATAGAATAGAAGTCCAAGCCGCCCATCTTGGCAGTGAAAAAGTGATGCAATATGTCGCCAGTGAGGCGAAAGTGTTGGTGGAGTGTGTTGTGAAGTGTTGCCGCGGAAGTGAAGTGCCGTGAAGCTGAAGGAGCAGAAAGTGAGGAGCAGTTTCGAGGTTCCGGTGCAGCCAGGAGCATGAGGGAGCAGAGCTGGAGGATCGCCGGGGATTCCCCGAGAATTTGCGCAGCAGCGAGAGAAAAATGGAGAGAAATCCTTATGCTGCACGAGTCGTGAGAGCGAGTGAGAGTGAGAGAGGGCGATGAAATTGTAGATATTCATTTGTCTGTGGAGTGAGCGAGTCAACAATATGTGTTTGTGCGATCGGGTGATTGAAGGAGGCCTCCGAATGGGTGCTGTGTGTATGCGTGTGTTGCACTCCTTCTATTTCACAGCATTGCATCATTCGTCAGAGATCTTCCTAAGAGTGAGTAGAAATTGAATTGCGCATTGAAGAAGTGAATTACGTGTTTAAATTGAACGGGATCAAATTCGAGAATAAAGCCCAGTAGTCACTTGTGTTTTTGTCACTTCAAAGTGTCATCGTTGCAGAGAAATAAGAGAGCTCAGTGAGATTCTGTGACAAGATAAGAAAGAGATTGAATTGTCCTAGAATCTGACAGTGTTGAGGCGAAGTTGGCGAGCTTGTGTGTGGAGCAGAGTCAGCAGGATGAGGCATGAGCAGGATGAGGACAGGATGAGGCAGTGAAGTGTTAGTGTAGCTAGTGAACAGGCGGTTATTCTCCTTCATTCACGGCTCTCCATCGAGATCGAGGCAGGAAGGGCCGAATGTGGTATTATTTCCTCCACGGATAAATAACACCTCAAGAACTCCCATAAGTTTATGCTGCAAAGCATAATCCTCATCCCGACGGGTTCGGCTGACCGAAGAAAGCATACGCATAGAGAGATCGCGAGTCCGAGAGTCAGTCGTGACGTGATAGAGGAAGCTGAAGCAAGCATTTGTGGCTCTAGGTAGGATTAGGCGATGCTTGTCTTCGGCAGTCTTTGAACGCAAAGGCGTCGGTCTCAGTGTAACGTGAAATGAATGTGGATCATTTCGTAGTGATTCCACAAATTGTAAGAAAAAAAACTTTAGGAGAATTCCATCCCAACACTTATGAGAAGCTTTTCTGTAAAATATATATTTTCTCAGCAGGAAATTGGGAAACAAATTTAAAGAGGGTGTGATAGAAGTTGTTCTAAACATAAAACAGAGACAGTGATTAATAGACAGTGAAATGTTCCTCAATTGCCCAACTTAAATGTGGAATGTTTGCTGTAATGAATCTCTCTCAAAGTTATGCTGAGAATGCAGAAAATGGTCCGAAGCGGTCAAAGAAACTTGTTAAGGCTTGACAACTTTCTCAACCCTCAGCAAGTGTGCATAAAGCTGCCAATAATAGTAAGCAGACGAGAAATGCCGCCATAAAGAGTGAATCAAAGTGTTATTGGCTGTTATTATATAGATTAGGAGGAGATTAAATTCACTCAATACTCAGTGTGGGCGTATTTCAGTCACACGCGACAAGTAAGGGGTGGAAAAGGTTTAATTCTACTCCCTTGTACGACATTTCATAGCTCAGAAGACTCTGAACAGTGATGAAGAAGATGCTGTACGATGTCCCTAATCCTTTCTCCCATCCCCTCACACATCTCAAACACGCCGTCTACTGAAAACACTTTAATAATCATGCCTTCTCAAGAGAACTTTCTACTTAGCAAAAAAACTCTGCCTTTCATGAGGATTTTTAACTAGCTATCGCATACTTATTACATGAAAAATCTAGTGATTCTCATCGCTGTTCATTAGTGAACTGGATGAGATATTTTCTCATTATTGCCATGGGCAAAATACGATGCCAAGAAAAACGACCATTGAGGCGCAGAACAGTAGTTAAAGGACCTTCTCTGCGGAATGGAAAGATAAGATGAAAATATGAGAGTGATGTAAAACGATGCTCAAAAGGATTCTATATATCCTTTCTATATAACACTCGGCACAGACTATTTTTAGACGGTGTGAAGTAAAGGGCCAAAAACTTCCACCCTTGTCAAGTTGAGTGCTGGTGAACCTCGGCAAAAATGTCACGCAAATCGAACGCTACAACACTCTGTATAGTACATGTTTCTCCATCATCCAACTGACGGCAAGTAAATCTGTGGAAATTTTACGGTTCTTCGAATGGTGAGAAGCTTTTACAGCATTTAGATTTGCCACGAAAACCATTGTGGAACTTTCATTGTCGTGTGGGACAATGCATTCCGATAAATTTAATTCTATCTTTTCGGTTCACGGTGATTAAATTAGCTCTGCTCCGGAGCATTGTCAAAAGCTTTCCAACTTACTCTATACGTGTTTTTAGTGTACATGCCAATGGATTTGAATAAGCTTCGGGTATTGTTTGCATGTGTGCTAAATGGTCGCTTTTCGACAAGCTATTTTGCTAGAAGAAGCAAAGGGTAGAGATAGATTGAGACATTGAAAGTTCTGAATACTGAAGACAGAATGTACATCCATTTTACGAAGGTATTGCATATACTATTATTTGTGACAACAATATATTCCGTGAATTTACCTTTCTCCCATTTCACACACAAACTTGTCACACACAATCATTCTCACAAGAAATATAAACACGCTGGGACAAGAGGAATACCACGTCATTTTAGTGCCATCACTATTCCATACCGGCGCCATCAACTGCTTCATGATATTTTCACCATTTTCACAATCTGCTTTATCTGATGCTGTATAAATCTTTACAATGCTCTACTTTTCGTAAGACCGGATTTCTTGGAGAGAAATAAAACAGTGACGTATGTATGCGTAAAATATTTTCGGTCATATCAAGGGTGAAAATCAAGAAAAAATACGTGAAAGGGCGAAAAGGCGGAGCTTTAATAGAAACCCTAGAAAATTTTGATTGGACATGTGAAAATGCTTAAACATAATCTGGCTCCACAAAGATAATTTGAAACAGAATAACGATAAGCACCCACCCAGCGAGAATTGTGGTGTTATAAAAGAAACTATGAAACTCATATTGGCTATAATATATTTTCCGTTATGTGTTTTCTCTCTGAGTTAAAAGGTAATAAAAGCCCGCATCGTTTTGCTAGTTCATCTTATCCTTCAGTTGTGTTCTTAAAGTATGAGTTGTCTGTAGACTTTTCATGAATTTCATTTGAGAAGTATCAAAAGCAGAAGCACCAAAATTCATTATCCTAATTGAAAATGAACAAATACGTAAGCTCAAATCGCCGTAATGGCCTATGAAAAGCAGAATGAGTTAAGTTTTATCTTATATATCCAATAAAATGGATTGAATAATGTGCAGCATTTCCTCGCAATTTGTCTCACTTTAAATTATTTGACGCCAACAAATTCAGATATTATAATCTCATCAATTTTCATGCAACATCTTGTAGAGGTAATTTGTCACTGGTGAGGAAATTTTTGGGGTTTTGTCTCATCAAAAAAATCATACATCTTTCTTGTGACACATAGAGATGATGTGCGAGGGCATGACTGATTTGCAGGTCACGAATTTTGTGGGTGACATTTTGGGAAATATATAGTACTTATTGTCTATAGGTGTACATACAATTCGAGCAATTTGCCCACAACGAGAGCGGATTGAAAGATATGTGAACAGATATTTTTGAACGGATTCCCCGGAACGCTAAACCCAGGACGACGTGTCAATTTATCTTTCTCACCTGAGGGAGAATGGCAAATGGTACACGCGGAATTATTGATTTTCCCACATCTTTTGTTTCAACATTTTTCATGGAGCTAATATAAATGCTTGATACATTACATTCTTCACCGCTTTCCAACTCATGGAATGTAAAAGCTTTTCCCGAATCACACATGATAATTGTTATATCAAAGGGAGGAAAATTTCATTAGTCGATCCATTTGGAATTTCCTCGCACTTTCATCATTGAGCTTTATTCAATGAGAACATCAAAGAAGTTTGACTTAAGTATACAGAGTAGATGAAAAGTCTCAAATTAATTTTGTGTCGCTTCTTTCGTTGTTCGTGAATGCAATTTTAAAGAGATGTATATCATTGCCAATTTTTCAGAGAATCATACCTTCCTGCTTCGTGTGGAGCTCATGTTGAAGGTGTGAAGAATTGAGCGCGGGAACTCAAACAGCAGAATTGGTTTATATGACTCTGAGGCTGTAATACTCAACAAGATGTGGCGTTCTGCATTATTTACTGCTTGGATGCTCATCAGTGTCATCCTATGTATCCTTCTGGAGCCTGTGAGCACCAGAGTAGCTGGCAAAATTGGCTACAACAACAATTACTACAGTGGTAAGAAACTCCTGTTGAAGTTTCACTCAAATGCGCAAACGACTTCACACAAATGACTTTCTTCGATTACCCAGACGGCTTCTAGGAAACCCCAACATGTTCTAAAAATAGGGCTCCATTTGATGGAAGAACATCCTCATCAGGTTTCAATCATTCTCTCTAGTGTCTATTGATTTTTTTCAGCATGTGTGCGACTTCTATATGGTGTACATGGAGAAATGAGTCTGTTAAGGAATTTCATACATTTTATGAGGTTACACTTTAATATAAATTTTCCTCCTACGACCCTTTTTACCGACTGGTAAATTGGAAAGAAAATTATCGTGGCGAAAAATAATGATAGCCTCATATTTCACTGAAGATTGAGCAATAAAAATTTTCCCGAGTGTTGAGATCTGTCTGGCGTTTCTTCCCATTTCTCTACAAATCAATCGCAATTCAAGCTCTACCCAATTTATATTATTGGATGTAAATATCTGAGAGAGTGATATTGATTTCTCAAGAAACACTTTGAGATGATATTGGGAAAGCTCATATGAAATTCATTGGGAAAATGTTTCAACTTTGCATTCAAGATCAATATCGGGAAAATTGTATTATGTCAATTTGAGTGAAAGACAATTGGGGATGAGTTTAGTGATGTTCTCACCAACCCTCTGCTGGGAGCTATGAACGTTGTTTGCTCATTGTTGCGATGAAGATGTTCTTTTCCACAGTGAAAGCATAATTTAATTCAATATACAGTGTAAATATTGCAATGTTCAAACAAATTCCCTCGACATCCAATGCAAATATTTACACTCAGTCAAGGGATTTAAACACTATAATTTCAGATTCTATCCACACTTTCCACTGTTCACTACAAAGTTAACCGTTTTATATCTGAAGAAATTCAAATTGTGAAAATAAATTATATAATTTTATGGCAAACAAACCAACAAGCATGTATTGAAAACTTTACAGCAATTCAAAAGTTTTCGCGAGCAAATGTTATCGTTTATTGTAAATTTTCTGAAAATATTTTGAAATACAAATTCATAAATCAACTTCAAGTAATGCAAATTCAAGGAGTTTTCGTGATAAATGCAAAATATCCAAAGATATAAATGGTACTTATAGTTATGATGAGATTAATAAGTTCATTTCACGTGGTTAGATGCCAAAAATGTTGTTCTCAAAAAATCTATCTTCCTTGTGGTCATTTTTTAAGGGACTTCTTGAGTTAGTAACAAACCATAAAATCCAGAACGACACAGTTTCTCATTCTACAATTGCACATCGTATAAAACTTTGGCAATTACTTGGGCAAAATAAACTAACGATTGCGAAAATATCTTGATGTTCATGAAGTAGTATTTATGTCTCTCTTCTTTAATTCCTCTCACTCAATGACTTCATTACTCTTACAATTAAATTATACGACATGAGTGTGCACTTATTCAATAATTGCACTCTCAAGGAGCCTTCTGTACAATGCAGATTTAATTAATGATCCTGCAATATCTGTGGTGTGATTCCTCACACTCGAATCGACAAGTTCACTCAATGTACTCATTAAGCTGAGAGGAAATATTGTAGGTCACATCTGCCGCAATTACTGTCTTAATTATATGAGGAAGACTCTTTGTCTATACATTTCTTTGTCCACACGCGTCTGCAGACCCTTAATTTGACCTGGCAATCATCCCTTGGAGCTTTTCCAGTAGCAGCAAAACTACCGGAAAGATATCTTTTAGTCGGGAATTTTTCGAATTGTGCCAAGGGGGATGGCAAAAGGAGGCTTCGTCAAATAGAAGCGATGCAAAAAGGAGGTCACAGTATACATTCTCGAGTTTCGTCTTCTTATGAATGATTCCATCACGCCATCGTGGCGAACGCTGCTATCGATTGTTCCAGTGATGAAGCGTTTTCAAGCAAATGAGCAGACACATCAACAAACGACGTGTTTAGGCGTTGGGAATTGTTTCTTAATCCTACGATAATTTCCCTGTCATCGACAGGAACATTAATCAGGCTTCACTTGGATTGTTTCTGCTTTCGTCAATTGGCCACACTGACCATTTCATGAACGCGAAATTATTTATCACTTTATTGATTAAACAAACAGAAATTTCACACTTTGGCATTGTCACTATTGTACCGGTCAATGTTATTTTTTTTAAAACTTCTGTGCGAAATGTTTGTGTATATTTTGCTGAACTTTTCCACAATTTGTCCTTTCACATGAGAATATAGTGAAGCTGAAAGGTTTAACACTCGCCTACAGAACATTCTAAACTCGTAAATTCAACTTATGAGCAGACTCTTGTGCTCTCCATAACAGATTTTATCATAATCTACTATCTAATTTTTCATCATTAAAGTCACATTCAATTAAATACATTTGCAACGTGGACTGAGTATTAACAACAGGTGAATTTGAATCCTGCACTGGAAGCATTCGCTGAACTCTGCATCCGGTTCAAATTTCACATTTAGTTATATATTATCAACGTTTGTGGCTTCTCATCCAAATTCACCTGAGCAGACAAACACCACTGCTGCACTTATCTCCTCTGGTTATGGAGTTCCAACTCAGTTCTGCACCTGGCGTCCTCTTTATTGGTTCTCCACTCTTGATCCTACCATTGCACTGCTTTGCGCTATGCTTTAACATTTCAGAAGCTTGTGGAACAATATGGAAATTTCCGACGCAACACTAAGTTGGTGAGCTTTGCAAGTTGACATTATCTCGTAATATGCTTGTAAATTACAAGTATTTCAGTAAGATTTCTTCATTATATATTTATGAACTGAAAGTGCATAACTTTGTCCTTGAATTCGCCTGCCATAACGAAACAATCTCAGGGAATTCATAGAAAGTCTTCGTATAACATGAAATCAGTATCTTAGCGGAAATGTTACAAACAAGGCTTAACTCCTTCAAACTTTCTTCTTCCACATTGAATCCCAAATCCCAATGCTTATGTGGTAAGCTTAACACCTAAGTTTCGATCTATAAATACATAGAATGGAGTGAGTGGTTTCTTTTATCCTTCTTCTAACTGGGACGGATATTTACTATGCCATTGCACCAGTCACACGTTTGACTGAATGACAAAAAGGCAGCACATATGTTGAATTCCGGAACTATTCCGCTGAATGCACGATGAATACAGCGCACTCAGGAAGAACATTTCATTCACGCCGAAGAAGTCAAGTGTGAATGAAGAGTTTTTTCGCATAATATTCAAATGAGTTTTTTTTATGTATCTGCTTCCCTTTAGGGCGCTCCTACAGTGGAATCAACGAGGAGATCATTTACGTGTCCATAGGAATGGGCATCACCATTGCTATTCTTATCAGGTGCGTTTCTATCTATTGATTAGCGCCAACGTGGTTTGTTTGCTGGAAAATTATGCGCATTTCACTTTGCATGTAATAAAATCACCAATTTCGAAAGCTAATTAAAACGGGATGTGCGTGAACTCATTTCGATCAGAAAATGTGTACTTTCAGACAATATTGCATTATACTAGCGACACTTATGCAATTTATTTGATGAATTTTCCCGGAGTGACATCCACTCATGGAATAATTAATTAATTTCCTAGCATCATTACCAAACAATACAGATAGTTCCATTATTAGGGTAATTATTTATTTGCCTCGCAAATGTGTAAAATTCGCTTTCCTCTTTCTCTCTTCAGTTTAGCACTGTGCTATATAATGCGAGAGAAGTGTCAGAAGAGGCGGGAATATTACATAACAGCGTAAGTTTTAACATTGTTTAAGAACTTACATCAATCTCCCGTCGAATGTGATTTGTGAGTGGGATAAAGTGTCTCTCAACTTCATGGGAAAGCTCAACAACTACATATTGACATCACCAGCATTTCAAATGGTGAGTGAATTTATGGAATCATAATGCCACAGCAACACGGAAAAAGAGTGAAAGAGAGAGAGAAGAATTATATTTCACTAAACATTAATACGGGAAAATTAAATAAAAGACTTGGCAAGAGTGACACACAATGTCCAGCTATGGTATGAATGTACATATATGCTTTGTTACAATAGCTTGAAGCTTTTTCCCAACCCTTTGTTACCACGCAAACAATGGTTGGTATTTGCTCAACCCTTCGGTTGTTCTCTGATCTGACATTTCCTTCCGGTCAAATGTGGTTAACGTTCACACATATTAATCTATACATGCGCTTCAATGCATGCAATTCGAAATTACAAGTGATAAAACAGAGATTAACCCCAAAGGAATAATATTCATCACGGCTATGTTTACTTTAATTGCTCTTTTCACGTCAAAACATATCGAAAATATCAAATACCAGAACTAATTTTTTTTTGTATATTTATAGTTCAATTATAAGAGTCTATTCAAACACCTTAATTGGAATGCATAGTTCAAATAATTCGATTTATTGACGAATATGGCAAAATATATTTGAGTAATTTATTATGTTGGATTTACGAAGTATGAATATTGCATTAAAGTCCAATATTTATGCTCTACATGACCTATGATGTGCCCATAGTGTGATATATTAACCAACAACCAGACTCGTGTTTTCCCTAAACAATCATACAATTGAATAATTAAATGATTCCGAAAATCTGCACTATTGCATGGAACTGAAATCATTTTATTAAGGCCACTTTCAGTTTGATAGTGTAAAATAAATGCACTTTTTGCACGTGCGATCAAAGGTTTCGATAAAAATGAAGAGAACTTCATCTACTCCACTATCTTGAACACCACTTCTATGAGCTCTCTAGAGCCCAACTGCGATGCTGTGTGAATAATTTTACTGTGCAGAATTCCTGCGAAATCTGAGAGAAGTCACGTCATGTGCCATTAGATAAACTGCTCAAGGAATCAGTGCATGTGTCATGAAATGAGATATCAGGACCGTTCTAAGTAATTACGATGCTCTCACTTGTCAGCCGAGGGCATTTCACTGACACTCCAAAATATATATAAATGTAATGTACGAAATGCCCGGAAGAAGTTTGTCAACATTCCCAGTGAATGTGATATGAAATTTATCTCTGTCAAGTAGGTATAGTGTTTCTACACGCGATTATGTAGTTTATCACAATTTGTCCTGAAAATTCATTTAAAGCAAGAGCCAAATGCAATTAAAGGCAATTTCCCGTTACAGGGAAATTGATGGTATAATATCGACCATCCCACCTTTGCTATTCATCCCAAGTACAGCATTCAGTGTACGCTTAGAACCACTATACAAGTCAGATCACAAATACGACTAATTGGGTAAATAATTCTGGGTTTTCTCCAATTAAAATCCTCTGTTCCCGTTTTAGCATGTGTTTCTCCATCTCTCCATCTCTCTAAAGCCTTCCCTATGGGAAGGCCTATGGGCTTCCAGGAGCCAATTTCCATCAAATATTAATTTCATTACATTGACATTGTGTTGACAAGCGACGACAAATCAAACGAATGCTTTTGGTTGGGGTTTTCATTAGCAATTGCATATTAATTGAATGAAACGAGTGAATCGTCAATAGACAATGTATTTGGAACATTTCCAGTATTCAAGGGTTTGTTATTTTTCATTCCCAAACATCCGAGCTTTTAGAACTTTTCTGATTAATTCTTATTTTCGTACAATGTACATAATGTGGTTGTTTGCAAAAAGTTTCAACTCACTTGAATTGCTTGTAGACCCGCAAGACTGGAATGGTTTTTCAATTTGAACTTCTTGATGAAACTTCAAATATTTATATGAGTAGATTTAAACACTTATTTGAAGATGTTTCAGGCATTCAAGAGGAAAAATTCGGCTAATTTAGTCGCATCTAAAGTATTTGTCTATTTACTCATCTCGCTGTTGAAATAACTTTTAGAAACCGGATGGGAATTTGCACGAAATTGCAGGAAATATTCGAGGAATTCCGCTGAAAGCTTTGCCATTAGCATTGTAGATGAGAGAATAAGGAGCAAGTTTCGCTTGAGCTCACGAAAGTAGTTTAGCGAATTTCTAAAATGCACTTGGCAAAAGCCATTGTCATTCCGAGAGGTTGTTGTTGATACTGCTATCAACCACCCATTCCAGACAGAGTTTCACACTGACAAAACAAACTCCTAAAACCCATACGTGATCCTGTTATCGCATCGTTGCTGGCTTTTGTGAATTCCCAGCCAAATTACGAATGTGCATATTCATTCCGTTGCGAGAAATTCACATTTGCATTTGTAATTGGCATACAAATTGAAATTGAGAGCTTTTCTCTGCGGCGGCTCGTGGAGAAGACGATGAATTATTTCGCTGGTTGAGCAATACAATGCATGAAATGATACAACTTCGCTCAGCAACTTTCCAAGAACATAGTTGCTGAACTGAAAGAATCCTCATATAAATTTACACGCTGTGAAGTAACACTCTTATTACAATTCACACTTACTTGTGGGACACAAATTAGAGTAATTTAACTAACTTTTTCCAGCCAAACTTACGAACGTTTCCTTAAAATGTGTATGCTTCCAGTTAAATAAATCAGATGCAGATAACGTGAGCTTCTGGTTAAGCTTCATTGAGAGTGGAATTGAGTCTATCCTGAGATTTTTCCTGCAATTTGCACAAATATTGCGAGAACTCAATTTAATTTAACGAATTTCCTCTTCTCTTTTTCAGTGAATTCCCAGAGGGATCAAAGGAGCGAATATTGCATCGATGATTACATATAGATTTGGACCAAAATCATATAATTGACACCATTCCCGCAACTTTAAAGTCACAGTATTATTTTTGTAGTACTTAATTTACGTCATTTCGTCCTAGAAACTCTATGTATGTAATACATTTTGTTCCGTGCTCAAAGCATGATAAGACATCTCTTGAGAAGAGAACGCGTAGACTTAATTGGAAATGCTATTAATGTATAAAGTGGAATAGTTTCATAAATATTTACCCGAATAAATACAAGTAGACTTTACTATTGATTTATGTAGACGAGTTTCTCAATGTAAAAGTAAATAAATGTAAAGAAAATCTTGTTTTCAAAAGAAGATTAGGGAAAATGCATGGTGTAAAGATTTTCTTGTGCAACGGTGAAGGAGCGAAAAAGACTTCGTGAGGTTCACGATAAAGTTGTAATAATTTATTTAAAATATATATTAGATATATTGTGTTTCTCAGAACTTTTTTTTGTAGACTCTTGACTTTCATCCCATTTGAGAATTCTTCTGCAGAACTGGGAAAAAGCTCCGCAATGATTGGATCACGTCTACTAGATCCGATTATTTATTATTTTATTGGAGTCAAAGGAATCAGGCAAGAAAGCATAGCAAAGGTACGAATATTAACCGAGTTTGCTCACATAAATTCCAACTTCAATCATCCTTTGAGCTGTTTCTGAGAGAAATTTTCTAACTCCCAATATAATTCTTGATAAGTTCAGTACACACATTTTTTTTTGGCTATGCACTCTAAATTTATCACTTTCACAATTTAACTTCATAGTTCTGGCAAAATTCGTCATGACACACTTTCCAAATTGATAAAAAAAAAGTTGTTTTCACCCAATAATCCAGCAAAAGTTCTACAGAAAAGTTTTGTATGAAATTTTAACTAGAGAATTTTCGCCACGATTAACTTCAAATGAGGTCACTTGAGAAGTTTCAAAATTCTACAACAAATTACTCACCTCTCGTGAAAGCTCATATAACACCAAGTATAACACTTTGTTTGTAGGGAATTCTCTGTCAAACATCTAACTAAACTAATCTCCGAGGTGAATGGCGTGCAGAAGCAAACGTCGAAAATAAGGGATGTTTGATGGGAGGACAAACAGAAATTTCTCCTTATTTACTTAAGCGTGATTGCTTGTGAGCATTTCGCCACACTCTAGTCGGCTTCTTATCTTTTCCACACCGCCCAAGAAGCCATCAAATCAATCCACTTGTGTTTCCTACAGTCAACTACTGAATTTATTCAGTGCTGTAAGTGATTTCTGACTTGATTCCACTGAATGTGACCGAGTTCTATTAAATCACTCGAATAAAAGATGAGTACGATGAATAAAATTTGCTGGAAATCAAGAGATAAACACTTCCAAGACTTGTGTACTTCATCCTAGCGGCGAAGAGAGGTAGATTAAGCGTGTATGCAGTCGACATGACTTATCTTTATTTGCGTTGACTACACTTTCATTCACAATTTGTCACGTCTTCTAAAGCAATCCCTGCATTTCCTTCATGAACTGCATGTAAGCGTCATCCTTCGTCGGTCCTTTCTTCTGTACCGGCGGCCCGCCAGTCGCCGGCGCGATAATGCTCGGATGCATCTGTCCCATCTGCTCAGGGCCTCGCACGTGCGAAAACTGACTGTACTGCGGATGCTGCACATGCTGTGTCTTCGTCTTCTGCTTCTCCTCGCGCCTCCCGCGCAGCGCAGCCGGCAAGAATCTCGTCACGTCGGCACTGAGATTACGAATCTGCGGTTTGGCCGTGATCGTGGCGCTCTTTGGATCCTTGGAGGATACCAGCTGAGGCCCAGCTGACAGAATATTGCCACCCATCGGATTCTGATGATGATGACTCTTCACGTGGCGCGGTGGCATTCCCGGAGGTGGACCTGGAGGCATCCTGATGCCTAGCCGTGGCGGCATTCCCGGTGGTGGGCCAGGCGGAAGGCCCGGGCGCCCTGGTGGCGGTCCAGGAGGCATGCGAATGGCCATACCAGGCATTCCAGGACGCAGAGGAGGTGGTCTGAAGATCTGTGCTGGAGGAAGACCAATAGGAGGAGGTGGTGGTCCGCCAGGAAGAGAGATTCCCGGCGGATGAAGTGATGGAGGATTAACTGGCGTTTCTTTAACTTCAGAAACCTTTTCTTTCTGCTTCTCTGAATTCCCTTCAGATTCGACACTCTTCTCTTGCTCCTTCTTCTTCTGGACACTCTCCATCTCCTTCATGAAATCATCAATGTTCTGCCCTGAGAGAGCCAGTATCCTCTGTTGCAGAGACGTGGGCTTCATTGAGTCATCCTCAGACGGTTCAGATAACTTCTCTTTCACTTTCGGCTCGTCGGAGAAACGTATAGATTTCAGTTTCTTAGGCTTTGGCTCCTCATCGTAATCCTCGTCCAATTCTCGCATGTCCAAGAGATTTGGCGGCGGTCCAGGTGGGCATCCAGGAGTGTCTTTCTTCGTTTTCTGTGCTGATTTGTCCTCTCTGCTTTCGGGTGGTTTCTTCAAGATGCTCTGTTGGACATTGGGCACGAAGGGCGCAACTTGGGCAGAAGTTGGCGGCAGTGGAATACGATTTTGAGCACTAAAATTGCTCCCAGCGCCTTGAGAGGGAACAGAAGGCGCCGATTCAGCCATTTGTGGCAGAGGAATGTCATCAATTTGCACAGATTGTGCATGCTTGACGCTCTCATAGTACTGCACCTTCTTGTTCCGCCTCTTCTCATACTCCACTTCCTTCCGCTTCAGCTCTGCCCACAATTCCGGATCGTCCGTGTGCTGCCGGGTAAAATGAACTTTAGAATCAATCCTGATATCGGAATGGCTAAACTCACATATAGTCGCATGACACGATCGAAAGTCTCCTTCAGCTTCTTCCTCTTCTCCTTGAGGACTTTCTCGTTCAGCGGTGAGGGCTGATACACGTTGTATTCTACAAGACACCGGAAAAACTCCATTACGTCCCGGACAAACGTGTTTAACCATGAAACTTACCCATCTCATCAATCTTTTCCATCTCCTCGATAATCTGGGAGGGATCCTTTCCCTTCAGCACTGCCGCCCGGACCATTTGCCGCTGCTTCTTGTTCTTCTTCAGCTCCTTCTTCCGGGCCTCCTTTCCTGAAAGCGAAAAGTAAACAGTGCTCAGTATTGTATGAAATACACCACTCTGGGTTGTTATGCTTACGAGCTTGATCTGTAGGATTCATGTATTTACCACTCTTGGTGGTATTTATTGACCTACGACCCATTTTTTACGGATTTTTGAGGGTAAAACCGAGAAAAATCACTATTGCTGTTTTCAAAACACTGCAGACGACTTGACACTAAATTAGTGTTACCAGAAAGAGTGTTTAGAAAAATGCACAAATACGACTTGCATGCATGTTACGAACTATTTTGAATTTGCGCCAGTTCTAGGTTTTCGCCCAACAAGAATTTTTCTTATAAGTAAAATCTTTTTTACGTTATTTTCTTTCTTTTATTTCATGATATTTTATTTAATTCACAAAAACATACTTTATATATTCGCTTATTAACCTATTCACAGAAACAAAAGTAATAGAAAAAGCCCATAAATTCACTTTCTTTGCATTAATTAATTTAAGTTCAACACGATTGATTAACCCAAAACTCTTCTCCGCTGTATCAAAATATAACAGAATTGGCAGTTTAGTGTTCAATGCAAATCAGCATTGGTATGTTAGTTCTTCCCGAACATAGAAGGATGGATGAACGCCTGTGTGCTGGAGTTAATGACTGGGAACACAGGACTTGGTCTATTAATTAAATTAGCACTCCTCTTGGTAGCGTACAGAGGAATGTTATTAAAGTTCCTCTGGGGTGCTTCAGCAAATGCCGAACTGATCTCAGCATCGCCACAAATTGAGCTCTCGCGAGAGTTATTCTGTGTCCCTCCATTCTCCTGGACAGAATTGGGCCTGGACTCGAAGCCAGACGATTGAGACGAGCAGCGCGACTCAACTAGCTGGAACTCTTCATCCACAGTGGCAGTATTCAGGATGTGACTGCGAATGAGAGATTTCTTCGGTGAGCCACTCCAGAAACCTCCGGCAACCCACGAGTTCTGCGACGTCAGGCTTTGAGTAGGCATTTTTGCGTGCGACATGACAAAAGTCGGTCTTTGTTGGTGCATTTGGTTGAGTGGATTTGCAGTCTGCCAGAGATTCAACTGAGACACTCTGGTCAATCCTCCAGCATCATCAATCCTCAGTTTTCTAATTGCCGAGTTAACCTCCTCCGTCGGCAATCCCTGGACGGACTTGAAGTCACTGAAAGTGGAGTTCAAGTCGCTAAAGTGACTCCTATTGTCGAAACTGTAAAAAGTATCATTGAAGAGTGAGATATTGTCCAACGAATTGGCCGGCTTGAGTGTGCATTCGCCAAATTTGTGAGCACTCTTGCGTATACTCGGCGAGTAGATGCTGTTCCTGCTGCTGCGACCATCTGTCTCCCCATGATTCCTCGGGAAACTGGAAGTGACTGAGTGAAAAGTATCGTTGAGACTCTCGTTACTTCGCTCCTTCGGCGATACGGGCGAGGAATGTTTGCTGTCGATAAACTTCCGCATAGAATGCTGTTTGTTATCGCGGAATATCACAGAGTCTGTGCTCAACTCTTCAGATTCATCCTCTTCCTCGACGTCACTGCAGTCTGAGTAAATGCGGTGAAAGCTCTTGTTCATGTCCACAATATCCCGAGCACTTGTTGACTCATCAGAAACATTCCAACAAGAAGCAGCTAAAGTAGTCACAGACAGCAGAACCTGATAAGAAAAATCACATTCCTAGAGATCATGTACATTTCTAAGCTCCAATTAATACTCACGAAGAATAAATCTGTCAGCAAAGAATGCTGTTCTAGGAAGTTATCAAGCAGACTCGCACTCCAAACCACGAACATCGCGATTGCCTTGTTCTTCTGATGACCAGAATTGCTCTCAATCAGAATCCATAGCGATAAGACAACTCCCAGGAGTTGGATGGCAAAGTGTTCATCGAAAGTCATTCTTTCAACAAATTTGCCATCGAGAATATTGGCAGGATCCAACATCGCTGACACTGGAGTGATGATAATGGTGAAAATGTTCATAAGAAGTGCCGAAAACTGCGAGCTCAAGTAGTTTGCCAGAACAAGAAGAATCTCCAGCGTCGCCGAAGTGTACTGAACGAGGCTTTCTGCATAGGCCACCCACGATGGCAGTGCCTCATTGAAATCGAGCTGTGATTTCGCTCGTTGGCACGTCTTGAGGAAATTCAACGCCGCCATAGCGATAACAGCATAGATTGCAACATTGTGCATCACTGTTAAGGGTTCATCTCTCGTGGCAACTGTAATTCGCTCAGATGCTGATTTCAGTGTGTTTGTCAGGAGACTGAGAATCTTCCTCTTCACTCTATTGAGTTTCCTTTTGAGCACATTTTTACATTCTGGGCACAATGAATATGCCTCGTCCAGGTGCTTCCTAAACGCCTCCACCTCTTTGTCGAATGTCCTCTCATTTCTCGGAATGAAGGACGCCAATTGCTGCACTTTCAGCTCCTGATTTCGGTTGCAACTCTCACACAAGCCATTTGACGAAATGTCCCGCGATGTCTCATTGTGACTCTTGCGCTGTGGCTTAGGAGTTCGATTTAATTTTGCGCAATATTGAGCAGGGATGTCTCGATTATAGTCACCATCCTATGAGAAATCCAGAGATATAAGAAGAAATCCATTTACGGACATTAACAAATGATCTTTACTTACCGGAGTAAACCCATTATACTGATCGCAATGCTTGCAAATCCATGAATTTCTCTGAATATACGGTACTCTTGTGTTTATGTTGCAAAACCAGCAGTTCACCTTTATCGGGAATCTCTTCCTGCAGACAGAATTCAATGAAAATGTGTTTGTTTGCAGAATGACCGGCATTTACTTACCTCAGCTTGAAGGTTAGGTTTGAGAAAACTATCAAAATTGCAGAAAATACAAGCACACTCCATCCATTTATGGCACTAGTAAACATAACTGAATCACTACTGTAATCCAAACTTCACTTTAGGCAGTAAAAATCAATTTGAAAGGGCTTTTCTCTGCACTAAACAGCCTCACGCATTTTCCACAAAACACACGAAGAAATCTGAGCCCAACTGAGCACTTGGTGCTGCCTGATAAGAAAAGTTCAGAATTCTGAACATCGCATCTGGCAGCCCTGCCGTTTCATATTTCTGACAACAATCAACCGTGCCGTGGCGTTCTTTTGCTTTTGTATGACTTTTTCAGTGAATTTCTTTATATTTTTTCCACGTCTATTTACTAAAAGGTAATGGACTCCAAGTACAAGTTGCTAAAAAGTGTGGACCCCACGAAAATCCCCATAACAATTCGTAAAAGTAAATAATTTGGAGCCTGGCAGTGAGTGTGAGTGATTATTTTGTTTTTTTGTTTTTTCTCAGAATTCACTAAGCTAATGCTGGGAAGGAGGTGTCAAGATGATCAGAAGAATTCCGTGGATGATCGCACGCAGGAGTTTCTTTTCGAGGAAGACAAGGGAAAGGAAAAATCCAATATCCTGACTGATGATGAGAGTGGCGAAGAAGAGCTTCCGGAGGAGACAAATTGCAGCGAACTCAATACTCAGATGTCCTTGTTGGGCATCAAATCGCCACCCAAAAAGACCCCCACTAGCAATATAGTGAAATCAGTAGAGAAAATTAAGAAGGATATGAGAGATCTTGGAATTCCCACCCAAAATTCAGCGAATACACTAAACATGCCATCATTGAATATCACATCCGACGAGCGTTTATCTGAGCACCTCAGGAGAGAGATGGAGATGGGAAATGAGGGGGCTGAGGTCACTATCCTGACCATTAGCAGCACAAATGTTGATGAGGTGTCAGAGGAGGAGGACACATCACAGGAAGTTGCCGAAGACACACCGGAAATCATTGTTTTGGAAGAAAGCAGCGAAGATGAGCTTCCACTGAAGGATTCTGATCCTATCGTGAGTGAGTTGAATCCAAAGGAGAGTCTCAGCAGCACTGTTGAGCACAGATTGAATGCATTCTTCGACAAGATCCCCTCAATCAGAGAGACTTTGTCGCCTCATTACAGCGCTAATAAGTTACTGTCGAAGAGCACGGATGAAAATATTGAGAAAAGTCCAGCTGAGCAAGTAACACAAGTTAGTCTACCCGAAACTGAAGCAGAGGCAAATGAGGAGATAAATAAGACCGAACAGCCCACTATCAGAGAGATTCTGGCGAAGAACACGGATGAAACCATTGGGAATAGTCCAGCTGAGCCTATAACACCAGTCAGTCTCCCTGAAACTGAAGCAGAGGCGGATGAAGAGGACAAGAAGACTGATTCTGGAATCGAGAAGGGAAAAAACACCACGAAGCCTACGAATATGGAAGAAAAATCCCAGATAGTGAATATTTCCGCCAAGATTCGGATCAATATAGAAATTGAGGAGTGCGAAGTATCGTCATCTTCCGAGGAGAGTGACCAGAACAATGATGATGGTGATGAAGGTGCAGCAAAGCAGCCTGATAAGAAGTCAGGAAGTTTTGAAATCAATGAAGAGATGGAAAAAATCTTGAATGATACTTACGGTGATGCCTGGAAGACGAAAGAAGTGCTAAGTTCATTGAAGAAAAAGAATGTGGATAAAAATAAGACAAACTACAATGTGTGTAAGTATTTCATCTCGGATTTGAGTGGTTTGCCATTGTATTAATTTTATTTTTCTCTCACAGTTCAGAGGGATCTCAGAACTGATCTGGAATCCACGAGATTTGATGTTAAGAATCGAAATTCACCTGTTACAAGACCAAAAGACACACCCAAGAACACACCGAAGACCACCCCTCGAAAGCAGAGACGTGTAAAGGATAATTCAAAGTATAAGAGACTCCTTCAGATTTGTGATTCTGATACTGAATCAGAGGCAGAAGGAGATTTCTCAAGTGATTCTCAGAAATCATGGCAACAGAGTGGCTCAGAGAGCTCTTCAGCCGAATCCTCGCCTCACGAGAAGCCCACGAAAAAGAATGTCCGAAGGAAGGTGAAGCAGAGGAAGAATTTGGACTTCACACAGAATGCGTCAAGCGATAGTGACAACACTATCTTCGAAAATAGATCTCCAACGCGAGGAGAGGAAAGTCGTGAATTTTCCACTCCTAAAGATAAAATTTTCGGCACTGAGGACAAACCACAGCCATCGACGAAGAGAAAGTTGTTCTCGAAGAAGCTGTACGAGCAAGAAAATGAGATACGTGCAAATGATGGCGATGGAGAGAGAAGAGGAACATTCAAGCCAGTTGAGGATGAAGTTATTGCACCTCTTCCGAGCTGGCTCATGCCTTTTAAGACACCCAAACCAATCAATAAGAAGCTGGACGCGGTCAAGAAAGCCTCGAAGACAACGACTCCCAAGAAGACTCCGGATCGCGCAACTGAGTCGCCTGTTCACGTTGCGAGAGATCCAAGGAAATGCTATGGATTTTTGGTATCATTGAATCCAACCACTGTGAAACACTTGGCTGATCCCGTGGCGCTGCACTTGAGGGAGAACTATCGTGTGGCCAAGGAAGAACTGACCACAAAACTGTATGAACTGTACAATGAGGAAGTGTTCGATAAGAAACTGAAAGTGGGCATCAGGTGGAATAAGAAGCTGCTAACGACGGCGGGACGGTGCACGAATATGTCGAGGTGAGTTTTCAGTTTCACAAAAGCAAAGTTCGCAGATACTTAAATACATTTTTCTGGGCAAATCATTCCAGGAATGGCGTAAGACTGGCCGAAATAGACTTGAGTGAGAAAGTCCTGACGAGTGCTGATCGTCTTCGTTGCACTCTCATTCACGAGTTGTGTCACGCAGCGGCTTGGATATTCGATGGTGAGAAGAAGGGTCACGCGATGAACTGGAAGAAGTGGGCATCACGAGCCAATACTGTGTTCCCGGAGTTGCCCAAAATTACCGTCTCTCATCAGTACAATATTGAGTACAAGTACACTTATCAATGCATGGGTTGCGGGGCGAAGACTCAAATGCACTCCAAGGCGAAGAAAGTGGAGAATATTCAGTGCAAATACTGCAAGGGTGCTATTCAAGTGTTCCTCAACAAGAAGAACAAGGAAGGTGAGGTTGTCCGTACGCCAGTTCGTGAGGTGAGTGGATTTGCCAAGTTTGTTAAGGAGAAGTACAGAATTTTCAAGACTCCTCAAAACACCCATGCAGAGACAATGAAGATCCTGAGTCAGGAATTCGCGAAAATTAATTTAGACAAGAAACTGCAGTAATTGTGTGTAAGTGATGCTAAATATTTTTTTGAACTGTCTTTTATAGTCAATAATGAAATTTTTGAAGTATTTTTTTCTATAAACACAACAAGATCACTTCTTGAGATTACTTATATTTTTGTAATAAAGGCCTTAGAAGTCAAAGGCATTTGTTTTAAAAATTCTGTCGTGAAAAATGCTGAGAATGAAATTTCCTAGAGGTTCTTTACTCCTTTGCACATGAAAAAGTTGCGAAAATCGCAAAAGTAGAGATTTCAACAAATCTACACGTGAATGTGAAAAAAATTTCACAAGTCAATATCTTCAGCAATAAAGTCGCTGAGTTGAATGTCTGTCTGTGCGGCGCAAACATGTAACTTAAGAGCAATTTCCTGAGAATCCCCCTTTGCAAGTGGCGCAGTGTTGCAATGAACTTTCCCAATTTCCACCTCACACCCTCGCGATCGGCAGAAGATGGGCCAATTGTGAAAGAACCGCCGACGAAGAGAGACTGCAACAGAGTCAATACAATCATATTTCACCGACAAATTGCGCTGATCTAACAATTTTCCCGTATAAAACCCTGGCTGGACACAATAATCGTCAGAAAAAGGTGATTTTTGTGCATCGCAATGACGCCGGAAAAGAGCTTCTTGTGGATCTCAGTCGGATTGTGCGTACTGTGCAGTGTGTGGGCACATCCTCTCGATTATGCTGCGTACGATCTCGATACGCAAATGGATAATGACTTGAGTGAGTTGGCCATGGCCAGTGATGAAGTGCTGACGCGAGAGAAGAAGGCTTCGTCACCAACGACAGTGTGTGTGGAGATCAATCCTCAAACGCCATATGAGAGATCATACATGATGTGCAAGGATAAGAGGAACTATCACTTTGATCATCGTCCGCACTATCACTCCTACATGGGATCAACGCAGCCTTACTCTAGGGATTACTACGTTGGCAGCACTAACCAGGCTCAACGGCCTCAGCAGACGCTCAAGCCGAAGGGATACATTTCGCCGCACAACATGAAGGGTGTGGATCGTTTTGGGGATGTTCGCCAAAAGCCAGCGCCACATGCCCTTCCGGTGCAGCCTCTCCACCTCCAGGACGATCTCCATGATCCCCATAGAGGCTTTGGCAACGCTCAGCGCAGAACCTTCGATTTTGATTTCGATTTCGATGATGACTTCCATGTGGCATCGTCCAACTACTATGGAGGCGGAGATGAGCAATCGTACGATCCTTATGATGATCGCTACGATCACCACGGAAGTCCCCATTATCCAAGGCCAAAGTACACCTACGTTCACGTTCAGCCACCACATGCACACGAGCAAGCTTCAGCTTATGAGTCGCCAGCTCCTGTTCATCATGTTCCAGCTCCTGCTTATGAGTCACCAGCTCCTGCTCCTGTTCATCATGCTCCAGCCCCTGCTTATGAGTCAGCAGCTCCTGCTCCTGTTCATCATGCTCCAGCCCCTGCTTATGAGTCAGCAGCTCCTGCTCCTGTTCATCATGCTCCAGCCCCTGCTTATCACGCTCCAGTTCCTGCTTATCACGCTCCAGCTCCTGCTTATCACGCTCCAGCTCCTGCTTATCACGCTCCAGCTCCTGCTTATCACTCACATGAGCCTACTTATCATTCCGCTCCTGAACCTGTTCATCACCACCAAACTCCAGCCCATGTGTACTACGAACCCTATGCAGTGAGTTGATCTTTCTACCTTCCTTTGGTGCTAAATTAATTCTCTTTAATTGTGTATCTTTACAGCATCCGACGCCGGCACAACACGGTTGCAGCGCTGGCCACAGTCACCACTATGCACCCCCACCTCCACCTCCTCCTAGCTACCATTATTCGCCACCAACCACATCATGTGGTCAGAATCTGGTCCTCAGTTGCACTCCCAACGTCTCTCCTGCGCCCTGCTCCCAGCACGGTGGACACGGCGGACACGGTGGACACAGTGGGTACAAGTCATCGGACACCGTTGCAGCCCAGAATCCCAGCTCCAGCAATGACAAGGGCAGCAATCAGAAGGCACCAGCCTCATCTATCGTCGTCCAGCCGGCTCACTTGACCAATGATCATCCAGCCAGCACAACACCTTCAGCCCCAGTTGTTGGAGCACCGGTGGAGGACAAGACTCCCTCGGACAAGGACCAACCGAAAGCCCAAAATCCCGCCAACAAGAAGCAAGAAACGATGGCCAAACTCATTGACATGATGAACTCATCTTCCGCACAGACGAACAAGGCGACACACAACTCCAGATCGGCGGACACGCTTCCAGGAAAGTCTCCGGCGACTTACATCGCAAAAGAGCCTGTCAAGGCATAGAAATGTGTATTAGAACACTGCAATAAATTACAAAAGAAATTTTAGTAAACGAAATGAATTTTGTCTATTTTCTTTAATGCTGTTGATTAATCCACATTTGCGCAATGGTTGATGATTGTACGAGACATTTGGTTTCCGCAAAGGAAATAGAGAATTGAAAGAGATTGAGAAGTAATCAATACATCGAAGAAATGCGAATATATTTATCTGCAAAGAATACCTAATTAGCAATTCCTGAATAAATATTAAATTATTGATTCTGTCCTTGCGTAAATATCTTTTATGTACTATGATTCACATGATCAATTTAGAAAATCGGACGTAAGTTAATTGCTATATGTAGTCAATTTTTGTTGGCAGATTTTAAACCAAATCACTTTGATTTGATATGTGAAACTCACCAAAAATATTCCACAAATCTTATAAACAAATTTTATGAAAATTTTATGACTGAAAGAAGATTGTATAGATAAAAGCAATAAAATAATAATATTATATTTTCTGTGGCATGATTTGAAACGCACTGAACATTGGAATTTATGACACTTTTATGAGCCGTTTATATGTTTAGATTAAAAAATAAGTACTTAAAAGAAATTAAATAGATAATTCTAGCTTGAGAAGCTAAACACTTGGATAATTTCCTTATCAAATCTTTATAAATCAATGAAATAATTGCTTAATCAAACAAGTAAATATGATTGCAAAAATGTGATGATTTCTCACAGTCATTCTAAATGAAATTATTTGCAACTTGTAAATTACAAGTACAAATGATTATTTTGCAAATGCTTAGATAAGAATTAGATGTGTAGATTGAAATTGAATCATTTTACTGACAAAAATAAATGAATTTATTTAAAATTTTTGCACACATAACTCAAATGCATTCCATTTTACAACGCTTATTCGTAAAATCTCTTCATCTAAATGTATTTCGATTGATTTGCATGCAAAATATTTCATTGAGATTTCATTTCGAGAAGAATTTCTCTGCATAATTATCAAATTTTTTTTTTTACAGTGAAGGAAGGCATTTTTGTGCATGGAATTTTCCCGTGTGACGGAAATTTTGTCGATATTGAAATTTGCATTCAGTGCAATCACCTGCAAATGCTGCAAAAATCCAATTGACGCACGAAGTGGGCCTGGAATGGGAGGGAAAAGCTGACTTTAGAATAATTTTGGCTATAAAAGCGGCCGATAATCAATTGACAATCAGTTCTCCTGATCGAGTAACAGCATTCTCATTGAAGTCATCATGAAGGCGTTCATCGTGGTTGCCCTGCTGGCCATCTGCACTGTGGCCTATTGCGAGGAAGAAGTCGCCGAGGCTGTGGCTGTTGCTGAGAACCCCGCCGAGGAAGTGGCCGAAGATGCCGTGAGGGAGGTGCGCTCCTACGGACACCAGGGTGGACACCAGTACGGACATGGCCACCAAGGTGGACACCATTACGGACACCACCAGCAGCACCACCACCAGCAGCACCACGGATATGGCAAGCACGAGAGCAAGGGCCATTACGGACATCATGAGGGACATCACGAACATCATGGCTACAAGCACCAGCACCACGGTTACCGCGCTGCTGCCTCAGCTGATGCTGCCGATGAAGCCCCTGCCATGGCCGAAGCCCCCGCCCAGCAGCAGAGTCAGAACGCTCCTCTTGTCGGTTCCACTTATGGCCATCACGGTGGTCATCACGCCCATCACGGTTATGAACACCACGAAAAGCACCATGGCGGACACCACCACGGCTATGGACATCATGAGAAGCACCACGGCTATGGCCACCACGAGAAGCACCACGGCTATGGTCATCACGAGAAACACCACGGCTATGGCCATCACGAGAAGCACCATGGCGGACACCATCACGGCCACGGCTATGGACACGGACACTTGGGCAACACCAAGCACTACACCTACGTCTCTCACGCTCCTCATGTGCCATGCGGTCACAACTTGGTCTTCGGATGCCACCCCAGCGTCGCGAAAGCCCCGTGCTCTGCCCACCACGGCCACCACTACGGCCACCATTACTAAAAACGCCACACACAACTCACTGAAAACATATTTGCAATTTTATAATAGGAATTTTATAATAAACTCCAATATGAAGTGAATTTTGCTCTTCTCACTTTCCTCTACTCCACTTTGTCGCTCAACGATTTGCTGAATCGAAGGAAATCCACTTTTCCCGTCCACTTTTCCCTCGAGCTCATTCTTTCCTGGATCCTTCGTGGAAAAAATTAAGAGAAACAACACAGCTTTTCTTACTAATCTTACTATATTAAAAATAGTAGCAAACCATACCATTTTGTTACACATTATACTGTTATAATTATTTACTTATAAATTATTGTATTGATTATTTTGGTAAAAAATGGTTAATTACTGATTTTTTACGTGGATATAATTTTATTAAATATTACGCTTAGTGCTTAGTACGTTTCCTTTTCATCTTCTGCTCTTTAAATAGTCAAAATACTTTCTATTAAAAATTTCCAGTGCCATTCTAATTGCACATATATCTCCCATTTTCTCCTTCACTGCGGATGGCACTTTTACCTCAACTTCTCTGCTACTCTTTGCTCAATCTCTTTATAAAATCGCACACTGCTTCGCTACACTTTGCCCTGCTCTTTGTCCTATAAATCAGCAAAAAATCAATGGAATTTCTCTGTGTGTGTTTTTGGAGAAGCTTTTGTCATGCTTATTATTCCTTGCTTAATATATGCATAATAATCTACAATTATGTAAAATATATCAATCAACCTTCACACAATCTTAGCGCTGTTGCAAATACTGCATCACTTGAACAAAGATACTAAACAATTACAGTGGAATCACTTAATTCAGAACATATTGAAATTAGGCGATTTAAATCTAAGGAAAAATGATTATACCACTTGAATTATTCTACAAAAAAGTTGAAAGATTTCACTGATTCTTGCATCAGAAGAGGAATAAAAAATATTACAAATTTTTATATAGGGAAAATAGAATGTGGATCGAAGGTACAAACGAAGGTAAAACAATCATAATTTCTCCATGAGAAGCACCTAAAATACACAATTATGAATTTATATCTTTTTCCTTAAGCGAAAAAATATGACGACAAGAGAAGTATTCTAGTGGGAATTTGTGTCGACACTGTCCATATTTGGAATGTAGTCCATCGCCATCAGGCACGCGAACACTGTCATGACCATCTTGGGCTTCACCTCCGTGATATCCTCCGGAAGGGCGTACACACGAGCACCAATCTTCCTCGCCATCGACACTGCATACTTGGCATTGGCCAAATTGTCCTGCAAAGTGACACCAAATGGCATTAGTCAATTAATCTACGGCAAAGGGAATTATAGTGTTCACACACCTCTTCAGTGCCTCCTTGTCGCACCAAATCGTAATTGATGCTGCCCTTCTTGATGGAGTCAATCAGGTCAATTACAACTATTCCATCTGATATTTTTGTGTCCTGGAAACTCTTGAGACTTGAGCTCTTGCCGGCGCTCTGGAGCTTCTGGTTCACCCACTGGACGATCTCCTTCTCGATGATTGGATTTCCCGTGTTGGCCAGTCGCGACAGAATCGACAGTGTGTAGGCTCGCATCAATTGCCAAATGAGAGCTGCAAGATTGAGTTACATTAATTACTCACTGTGACTCACTTCCAACGAATCCAAGATAAACAAGTCACACGATTTTCCAAGGAGCGCGGAAACCACCATGAGATATAGTAGATAAACATTTATCATAATACTGATGGAGTATCTTTACGAAGAACATGTGTTTAGTGTGAAAAAAACCCAATTTTTCACACCTTTCCACACTCTTTTATCATCTCACTCGGGCTCGCCAAAGTGTGCGGGGAAGCGGAAGAAGAATATCAACTTCCTGCCAAGTAAACATCTTTCTAGCAAATGATGGCTCATAGCAGTCGAAGAAAGAGAGGGAAAAAGGTTTACTAGACATACACGCTGTTAAATTAGCAAGTGAATTTATGCAAAATTTCTTGACATTCAAATGAGTCATTGATTTTATAAACAAGTATTTTCTCTCAAACAATTCCTCTCTCAACTCAACATCTTGTGTCTCTTCGTGCGCAGTTTTTTTTTTTTCAAGAGCTTATTTTCTCTCTCAGGGAAATGCATAATTAATCAACAATATTTGCCTCTTCAATTCACCAATCCAACACAACTCGACATCAAACCGGTGAAATGAGATTGAAATTGAATTAGCCAGATGTGAAGGAAAGAAAAGAAGAAAAAAACACTAACAAACTACATCGTGTTGACTGAATAATTTCATTGGGTGTTTGTTTGGGAAAACACATTAGAGACCCTTATTTATCTCGTTAGCAATTTGTCAAATTAGCAATCATTTTAAATGTTAAACACGCTGACTAACGAAGAGCAATTAATTACACGCTTCCATTGAGAAAGTAGCTCATATACTCACCAAGAGTCAGTGTTGCATTGCCATCACTGATATCCTGTCCAGCCACGCCGACCAGTGAGAACTTCAGCTGTTTGCCCAGCTCAACGGCATAATTGCAATTCTCCAGCTTCTCCATGAACTTCCTCAGTGGCGTGAACTTCTTGTGCACCCGATTCCAATTCACAATTCCCGGCTTGATGATGTCGCACAATTGGAAGATGACTAGACCATCGGCCAGATCTGAATACAGCCAATTCACGTGTGGCGCCACTCCCATTGAATTCATCCAGTTCCGGTACGCTGAGAAAGGCCGGGACATAGTGAAAAGTGAGACAAAAGGCAAGAAGTGAGCGGCCGGAGCATCTTCCTCTTGCCACACACCGCATGGGAATTTTCACATGAGGTGCGCGCCGAAGAAAGATGCGAGAGCAGCAGAAAAAAAGCAGAGTAGGTGAGATAATGAGGCAACTTACTCTTCTCCTCTCGCGTTTCCTCAATCGATTCCAATCCCTCAATCTGTTCCGGTTCATCGAGTCCCGGGTGGTTGTTGAACAGATTCGCCACAAAGGCCAAGTTGAGTTTGTACACGCCGCCCACCACGTCCTGTGGTGTCACGAAGCTGCGACAGTTGAGTTTTCCCGCCTGCTGCAGCATCACTTCGGCCCTCTGCAGCGGATCGTGCTCCCTGAGGGCTTCCAGGGTCACGCCGGCGGTGTTCGGCGCGATCTGCTTCAGCAAGTACGTGTACACCTCGGAGTCAGCAATGTCATTCTGGAAGTTGGTGCAGCGCCTCTGCACGCCCGCACGCTCGAGATGGTAATTCACCCAGCGCAGAAGGATGGCCTCTGGAGAGAGCTTCATGAGGTCTTCGAGGTTCTCACCATCATTGACTAGCGCCACGAGACCCGGACAGTGATCCAGGGTGATTTGACTGAACAAGCCAATTCGGATGATCTGCCAGAGGAGTCCGAGCACAAGATGGGGCTTTCCCTTGGCCAAATCGTGAGCATCGATATTGACAATGTTGCATCCAATCGCCTGAGCTGACACCAAGCCCAGAGTCAAGTTCTCAAACTCCGTGTACACCGTGAGGTTCTTCTTGTTGATCGCTCTCTCATCTATGGTGTCCGGACAGGAGTGATTAATGATCTTACACAGGAGAATACCATCCTTGATCTTCAAGTACAGCGTCTTGCCCTCCTGGTCGATGGGCAGGAGATGCCTGAGGTCGGGATCGTGACCCAGATTTGAGTTGATCCAGTCGGAGAAGGCCAATTGCTCCTCCAGACGGACACTGTGTGTTGTTCCCTCGGCCGAGATGCTCGACATGCCGCCCAATGTTTCCAGATTCTCCTTCTTGGACACCACCGTCTTGAATTTGCTGCCCACATCCTTCGCCTTGAGATCCATGCACAGCGACTCAAATTCATCATACGTCAATCGTCCCTTGTTCTGTGCCTCCTGGCGCTGGCTGAACTCATTCACCATCTCGCGTATCTGATAGCCGGGCAATTTGAATCCCACCTGATCCAGCGCCTCCCGCAACTCTTTCAGCTCAATGTACCCATCATTGTTTTTATCAATCTGCAAGAGACAGGAAGATAACAGTGTTAACAAATTTTCATACCACGTTCGATGATAAGAAAGGGGATTACAAGTTACAAATTGAATTCCAATAACCATGAGTTTTCAAAGAAACACTCTCTATAAATAGAGAGCGAATAGGAGTTTGTTATGTAGAAAAGATATCATTTTGTTGCTTTGCAAAGTCCGTAAATGATGGATTTACTATACAACTCTCGAAATTCTTTCACAGAAAAGTGTTACAGTTTCATGAAATCAATTCCTCAACGCGGTTTCATTCACACAAGAATTTGCATGCACAAAATATTCATCATGCTGGTCGGAAGATTTATTCCCATTTTCACTTTTTGTGATCACAAAGATGCAACTTTTGGTTTTCTTCACATTGCATTTAAGATTATGCAAGAAAATCTCTTCTTTTCTTACGTCTTCCTCATCGAGAATGTCGGTCATTAAATTTCTACTCACGTTAAAAAGACAACTATTTTGCTATTATAGCAAGCAAATCAAGAGTATTTATCATTGACTCTTTTCTACATAATATAGCTAACCAATTAGTAACTAAGATATTGAATAGTATTTCAATTCAAATTTTCAAAATTCAATGGCAGCAATTTTCACCACATTAACTTTTTAAAGTATCTCTTCAATCACGCAACACGACGAAATGTGAATATTAACACTAGCTGAAGAGAGATAATGAGGGAGTGTGAAGAGTTTCAGGTATTTTTTGACATATTAATAGTTATAATGCTATTGCATTTTATTAAATACCATGAAACATTATAATTATGATAAATGGTTGTGTCTAACACTTTTCATCGTGAGAAATTGCTATAATTTCTTCACCATGTTATTTACATTGCTTCCCCCCACTGAGTGAGAGGGAGATAAAAAAATCATTCTCAATTTTATTTACTATATTGCTGCTCTCAAAAGCAATCTCAAGCATGAGAAAACAAGACGTCTGACTCATTCAGGAAATCGTACGCAAACGCCCTACAAACCCATCCGAGTCATCGGAACAATTTGCATGTTGACACGGAGGAATTCAGCCGCAGTGTAGCCCTTTTTGCCCTTTACCTAAGAAATACTACTTCAAATTCCTGGGTGGGTTTGGAAATAGAACCTCTAAATTGCGGATTGATAAGATTACTGCTATAATCTTCAGGTGAAATCCTTCTGCCTCTGCCACTCAACGATAGCAATATTTTACGACTGCCTGCAGTGGGATCGATATGGAGAATTTTCTAGCAAATGCCGATAACTGGAGCTTGATAAGAAGTTTCAATCAAAATGTTATATAATACCATCAGAATTCCGTCCCTCCCAAAAAGGCAGGTGACCGAAAAATTGCCCTCATCGTGAGCTGGGCAAGAAGGTGTGGAATTTGAGGATCAACTTACTTCCGGCCACAATTCACGCTCGAGGTTGACCTGAAACTCCTTCATAATCTCATGCTGATCGACCGCCAAAATATCCATTTTATCCAAAAAATAAGGCACCACACGAACACGCACACAGACAGTGTCCAGACGCTTTTCACAGGACCTCTGAGGACTACTTTCCTCTTTTAGGGGCAAATTGAGCAGCGAAGACACTTTCTAATGTGAGGTGTGAAAGAGAAATAGAAAATTCACTGCTGCCTGTGAGACGAATTTGCATCAAACTGAAACCACACGAAGTCACTGAGCAACTGAAAGTGAAATGAAGTTTTCCTCTTTTTCTCCCACTGGTCTCCTCATCGCCCTTCCTCGGGCTCTTCTTCACCACCATCAACGTCTCTCCCACACTCGCATTTGCTCTACGGTGACGTACTCTTATCAAGCTTTTATTTCTGACTTATGCGACTCATCAGACACAGCCACACTCCCCTCCTGACTCCTAGATGAGCGCGAAAGCGCGAGGAAACCCTTTGCAGCAAAAGAGAGATGGAAATCCACGCACCCAGTAGACACAAAAATCACCAGGAGATTTATCAGACCACCACAAACACACGCCGATGATTAGAAAAGAGTGTATAAATCATAAATTCTACAAATTGATAAGAGAATTATTTATCATACTCGTGTTTTTTGTCATTATCACTCTTTGAACTTGTGTCACACAATCTCGTATTTCTTGCGGCCACAGTCAGACAGTGTCACGCAAAGGAATGTCAATATTCCTTAACAGAAACAATCTATCAATTTCTAATTTCACTCAAAAATACGTCACGAAGCAGAATTCATTAATGAGATAACAGAAAATAACCTTCTTCAGAAGCAATTTTACTCTCATTTGCAATTTTAAATGTTCTCCATTTCAAAAGGAAAACCAACGTACTGAAAGCAATGGCAAAATTTAAATAATAATGAAGACACAATGAATAATTTGCTGATTAATGGAATCTATACGGTCACGCGAAACTTTACATTTTCACTTTATTGAAACAAGGCGAAATTCACACTTTGTCAACGAAACAGTGAATTTCAACCAAGGTGTCTATTTTGCTTCCAAAGAAAGATAAGTGACATTGAAAATGTAAAAATTCGTCTGTGAATCTTGAGGTCTTTCGCTCCGCGATGTTTATTATGATACCCCATATCTGCATGAATTTTTTCGCAAAATGGGAAAATGGAAAATGTTAAGGATTATTGGCCCACTTCAAGACTTTATGATAACAATTTGCCGCCTAATCTTACGCGAAAGACAGTATTTGTTCAACTCCAGCATTGTTGATGTATTGCAAGAGTAAAAGCCCAATAAATTTCTCATGCAAACAAATTTTCAGCGCAATTCATCATAGTTCAAGTGCAACTTTGCAATGTACACAGCATTTGAAGCAAATCCATTTGTAAAGTCTCTTCTTTGGCAATGTCAACAAGACAATGATCTTATAATACTTGCATACAATGCATCGAGAATAGCATGTGAAAAAATGTAAATATTTCTGCCTTCCCATTCTCCTCTTCATTCATCTCGTTTCGCCATAATTCCGAAAGACCATTTTCTCCGCTTTATTTGCTCTATTGATTTTCCTATAGGTTTATTTTAGGAAAAAGTTTCTCACTCGCATTTCCATTTCATTATGCCTCAACCAACCATTTAGTCAGAGTTGATGAAATGGAATGACGCGACGGCAAATAGGCGCAAAGGGATGAAATTCGAAAACGCACCCTCGCACCACATCTCCTCCTTATCTCACTCATCACCCAAAGTATTTTACAGCACCCAACACTTGCTCGACCATTTTAGAAATTATCTACACGCCGCTGTGCAAAGAAACTTGTTGTTTGGTGGTGTAATAATATCTATTGATTTTTCCCCACACATGTCACACTTTCTCACAGTGACGATGATTTCAATATTTGCTCAAGACGTTTGATACTTTACCGGTACCTTCTTAACAGTTTAGCCTTCGTGTTGTACAATAGAAGTACCTTGAGCACCTCGTAAAAATACAATTTTTAAAATGATGTTAAAAATGAAAATCCTTAGCAACAGACTATTTGGAAAAATCCATAAATTTTCTCTCTCTCTCACGCTCTCGCGGTTGAAGGTTCAGTGGAGGAAATGAAGGTTGGCATGCGAAGAAAGTGAGATCTCGATAAATTCATTTATATTTAAATTATGCCAAAAATTATATTCACAAATGATTCCTCTTTACATAATGCCACTATAGGCAACGTGATTTACTATATAAATCATATTAATAAAATGGAAAGTGATTAATATTGTAAGCTCTTCATTTGCACAGAAAAGTATAGTCTTATAGACTTTACACACTCACTATGACACACATCCAAAGTCAATCTCCTCAACATTTCTCAGTGGGGGTAATTTTTCTCCCTTCTTTTTCTTCTTCGACATCTTCAATGAAAATAGAAACTGTAATAATAACTGATAAGATTGCTTACTCATTTCTGTTAAATATATATATACATTTCTCTTTTTTCTCTCACATTAAAGCAAAAGTGCGATACAAAACTACAATTTTGTTGTGCAATAAATTTACCGGAAGCACGAAAGATAAAAATCCTCAAGAGCTATTGTGCATAAATCATTTTTCTGATGAAAAATTTCTCCATTCTGAGAATTTTGTGAAAAATCAAGTGGTTTGAGAATCCTCACTTATTTTTAACGACAAATAACTCCAATCAAACGATCACAATCAAGTGCCCCGAAATTAATTTTCTAATTATTCTCAAGTAAATTTTTATTTGTTCTGTTATCAAAACGCCACAGCGACTCTCCTGACAAGACTCTATCGTCACTCAACTGTAATACTTGAGGATAATTCAAGTGCGAAAAAGTCGCATTTGATAACAGTGAAGACATTGAATTCATCGTGACTGCTTTTGATTAATTACTCATCAATCAGTTCACACTGTGCTCCATTGATAGGAGCTAATTTTTCCGCCATTGCGACTGCGAAAATTAAATCTTGACTAATTGAGATAATTTTCAACCTTTTCCGCCTTGTCTTGTTATTCAACATGATTTTTCATTCAAACATTTTTATCTCATTTTACAACCAAGTGCATGAAATTGGAGATGAAATAGCAGGGATTCTATTTAATCTTTCATTGGTTTTCACATTAAAATATGCCATTAAAGCGATCATTTTTCACGCTCATCTGTCACAATACATTCTCAATCATTACAAACTTGTGCATTAAAAGTCATTTTATATATATATAAATACCACACAATGAGGCAACTTTATATGTGATTTTTGCCTTTTTCAGAATATTTTCCATCTCACGAGAGACTTCTCAGTGGAGAAAAAAATCCTTGAGCAGTTGTCCCCCTTCGTTTTCCTCAGGTCATGAGCATTCAGCATGATTTTATAGTAAATTCCACAGATTGGCTAAACTCACAGATTATATTCACTTAAGACTTTCATTGGCAAGAAGAAATTTAAAACCGTAGAACTATATGTTTAGCAACTCTATTCATCGTTTTATTAATTTTTCTCCACCCGTCTTTTACATGAGTAAACGACGATAAATTATTCAAATCGTGCACTCAGATCAAATTCTGTGAAGGACAGCTCAGACATCGTTGTAATCAGAAACATTATCGTGGAATTAAAGACTTACTCTTCTCAAATAATATCAGAGGCGAACTCAAAGTGATTAAGAGAAAATGTTACGATAGAAAGGAAGATTTTCGTGAAAAATTTCCTCGCACGAATGCAATTTCTCACGCATTGCACACCTCTTGGGCGGCTTTACATAGTCAACAGTGCACACAATTAGAAATTAACAAAAAAAGTATAAAAGCCATGAAAAAGTTTTGATCTCTTAACTTCACTCCGCATCTACTTCATAGATCGCATAGGAAAAAAATGTAAATATTATTATTGTATATGAACGAGGAGTGAGGAAAAAATCTTCTATATCATCTGAGTAACTGGTTTAAGAGTGTGTTGTGTCGGGTGTGAAAGAATCGCCGGAGAGAGAGGGAAAAAACACATGAACTCTATTAAATACCCACTACTATGCGAAAGAGATTATTCTCCAGAAAAAGATTATATATATATATATATACATATATATATATATATATATATATACATATATATATATATATACATATACATACATAATATATATATATATAATAACATATATATATATATAATTATATATATATATATATATATATATATATATATATATATATATAATTATATATATTATATTAGAAGAAGAGAAGAAAATCTACAAATACACGCTCGAAGAAATCAGATGCAACACGAATGGAGCAAACGAGTTTCTTTAAATCTACACAATAACACCCGAGTGACATTGAGAAAAAGAAATTTTTGGTGAATTTCCAACTTGTGGTGCCACAACTTGCGGGACACTGTGAATTGCTAGAAACTCCCACAATTCTTCCATTTGAGATATTATAGAGAAAGAAACGACACCGTGGCTAATTCATCGTCGCCACGTACTTTATTGCTATTTTTGCCTCTTCCTCTTGACCAATTTAAAGTAATTATTTCCTCCACTCCTCTGCCATCGCACTCTATGAAGAAATCTCTTGATTTTATTTATAATTGCCACTTTTTACATGACTCGCGCTCCTCATTTTTTGATGAATGGGGCGTATTCATGAAGTGTCTGTCTTCTTCAATTCCTGCACTTTGTGTCTCCTCTCGTTTTTTTGCCTTATGTGAAATTCTCATAATCAAGTCATGTGCGTAAATTGCAATTAACTCAGTTTTCATATCACACATTGACTCTTATTAATCACCACAAAAAATCACGTTTATTGTATATGCAATGTCTTCTTTTTTATTGCGTCTCCTCGTTTTCAATCTCGTACGTGTCGCCAATAGTCTTGCCACACAGAGACAACAGTCCAACGGACTTAAAATTTCCAGTCCGCGATGAAGAGTTTCAATGCTTTCCCAGAAGGAATCGTGATCTCAGGCCAGATGCCAAAAAAGGAGTCACCCAATGTGAATCTGGTAAATATCAAGCCAATAACCATCAAAAATAGATTAAAACAACTTTAATTCAGTAAGCAAAAGGGATCAATTTCAATACACTGAAATCGATGGAATTGAAAATGACGGAAAAATGTTGGTGACAATATGTGGAACAGTAAAAGTTTACAATATACTATCGCAGTGGCCCTAAACAACACCAAGAGGCGGAAATTAATATCCCATAAAGACATAATTCCTCCAATTTATTGCCCAAGAATTGCTTCAATCTATTCTACAATATAGACTTCGGATATTCACTGGTCTTATCTAACCTAAATTCATTCCGATTATCCGCACTTTGCGTGTAAATCAAGCAGTTGAACTTGAGCTCAATCGAAAAAGGGACCGCATAGTGAGATTTGCTATGGTGAAAATTCCTCAACTTTTCTTCGGCTCATCTTGCGAAATCGCTTCGCAGGCGAGATGAGAAGATCGAATGTTTGCCACCAATTCCAGCACGATTCTCACCCACAACGTTCATGGCGAAAGAAGAAATACCTCCAGCATTGCAAAACGATGACGTCAGCCTTCAGCATAAGCAGCAGAGAGAGAGAGAGACAGAGAGAGACAGGCGAATAAAAGACGAGAAACTCTGTTTAAGCCACTGAGAATATCAACAATAATTGATTACGAATTGAGTCACTTTGCATGACGAATCGTGCAGTTTATGAGAATCGCGCGCACTTTCCGCGCAAAAAAATGAATAATCGGGTTCCCTGATGTCTCAGGCGGCATGATTAACCATCGAGGAGGGATTTCCGGTGACTGTGAGCCTCTTCCGCATCTCACTATGACAATTTTTTGGAGAGAAATTCAGACCTTTTCGGCACATTTATTTCGCATGTCGTAAAGTATATCCATTAGCCGAACAATTAGGTGTTCAAGAGTCCGCAGTGGATTTTTTAGCGAAAAAGAATGTACACCTTTTGGAACGGCGTTCAAGCGAGAAAATTAACACGAATATATCTTCTCCCTCGCCTCTTCTGCAATATATTAATAATACACCTCTTTAAACGCCCTCCCCATTTCAGCCACTTTGAATTTCAATGAAGTTCACACGGAGTGTCTTCTCAAGCACTGAAGAATTCCTCTGAAATGTGCTGCTCCTCTGGATGTCTGCCTTTTTCGGGTAAAAGAAATACTCGAGATGCCAGCGATATGAGGTGTTTATCAACCTGTTCCAATATTTACCGAGATGATACTTGCGATTTCGTCTGGATTTCGGTCGTATATTTAATCGTGACGACGGAATTCAAATAAGAAAACTGGGCGGAGCACCCCAAACCTCCGTTCAGCCGTGTCACAAGTGATCCGGAAGAGTAAACCGATAGAACCTCAAATTTTGGTTGACTCGGTAGACAAAATTCAGTGACAAGACAGAAAGGCGTCTTCGGCGTTTTTTGATAACACGCTCGATGCTTGATTTCGCGTGGATCCGCCACGTGGTGAAACACCCCACGCCCTTATTTCATCAATAGACAGCCGCCCGGGAGGCCACCTTCGTCAGAGCGGCTTCGGCGGCAGCCCCAATATCTGTGGATTTCTTATACGCAACGACAAAGAGAGCTTACTTCTGGCCACAATTCACGCTCCAGATTCACTTGAAACTCCTTCATAATCTCCTGGTGATCCATCTTATTCCCTTGTACACTTCTTTGCACCACAAAAACACCACTGAAAATTTATCTTCTCACCAAAACTGGAGAACTTTTCCTTGCGAGATAAAATGACTTATCCACTCCGAGAAATTTGCATCAAAACTGAGAGGCGTGCCGTCAATATGTGAAACCTCTCAATTCCACCAAGCGGCAGCGAGCGCCACGCGTGAGAGGGATCGAAAGTATAACTACAATAAATTTCATTCCTTTCACTCGTGAAAAGAGTGCAAAACTGTAGATTTTGGGGAACACTCTCAATTCTGTTACGGTTTCTTCTCCGTATATCATTACCGTCAAACAATTCTGTGCAATAATGTCTCAGGAAAGTGTTTTGAATAGGAATATATCGAATGTTTCATCTTTTCATTCTCTGTAAATTTAACGGATATGTCAAACTCCTAATTCCCCTCATCGGATATTCACCACCTCTGTTTATTTGTTCCGTGGTGTGTGGTGACTTTTGGGGAAGCTCTCTGTCGCTAAATTGTCTCTAGAGCATCCCAGTGATCAGAATAGTGGAAACGGAGTATTGAGGTGTTGGACAACATGAACAACGGCTTCAGCACAGGCGAGGAGGACTCCCGGGGACCGTCTGACCAAATTTGCTGTCTCATAGACGACGGCGAGAGGTGCAGGCACACAGCGGGAAACGCGTCCTACAACAAGAGGATCCAGAAAACTGTGACCCAGCGTCGTCTAAAGCTCAGTATTGACAGTCATGCCCACCATATTTACATCTGCGACTTCCACAAGACCCGGATACAATGCGCCCGGACGAAGAGACGCCGCAAAGACAGCGAGGAAGACAGCAATGAAACTGACACGGATCTTCCTGAAGTGGATCTCTACCAACTTCAAGTGAACACCCTGAGGCGCTACAAGAGACACTACAAAGTCTCCACGCGTCCGGGAATGAACAAGGCGCAGCTGGCTGACGTGAGTAGTTCCGGATCAGTTCTAAGTGAAATCTTCACTAAGGCTGCTTCTCTCTTGCAGACCATCATGAAGCACTTCAAGACAATTCCCGTCAAGGAAAAGGAGATTCTCACTTACTTCATCTACATGGTTAAATCCAACTCAAATAAGCTGGACGGGGGCGGGGAAGGCCCCTAATGAGCCAACAGGCGCTTCGAATGAGAATGAATAAAAGATTTATTGGTGACCGACACCTTAGCGCTGTTCAAATTCCCCATATGAAATCCATTGAGAGGCTGCGGGATATGACGCTGCCGTTGATTCGCGGTGGCAGGAACGAAAATCGAGCCAAATGCAATTATCGTGTGCAATAATGGCAGATTCATAACTTCAGAAAAAGTCATAATTACCCAATTAATGCGATTTGGGATTAATGATAAAGTATCCCAAAAGCATCCTGTTTCGACGTCGAGTGTGAATATTTTTGTAAATCGAATCGCAAGTGTGGCGAGATGGAATGGTGCAGCGACTCAGGTGTTCAGGGCCACTTTGATGGCAGAACGATTGTATGCGCTTAAGTATTAAAAAGATTTCTTTCTCTCTTCGGAAGCTTTATTGCTTTCCTAGAATTCCTCCTGAACCTTAGGATTGCTGCTGTGTTTTCCATGTGAACACATTTTTCTGAGTGTTTCAACGGGAAGTTATTCAAAAATGTTCAATAACTTCAGGCCGTTCAGGCCTTTGTTGGAGGAGAATTGAAACATAACCTTAGAAATGGAGGAAGGAATTCTCATCTACGGTCTGGAGTTCCAGGTATTTATCTCTCATAGCTCTCAATGGACCTTCTCTGATTCCCTTGCCTTCAGGCCAGAGCACTCGTGTCCCAGCTGGCGGAGAACAACGAGATTCGCTTCTTCATAGCCACACAGAGCCTGAAGCCGAACAATCAAATTCACTTGCTAGAGGTAAATGAGGATGGCGAGGCTGCCATCAAGTCCAGGATCTTCGCCCATCCACACGGGGAGGTGTGGAAGCTCAACAGTAGTCCGCACGATGCGAATCTACTGGTGTCTTGCTGCAATAGCAGCCAGCAGGGCAGCAATGTCTTCATGCAGACGGTTCTGCTGAGACTCCCGGATATGGACTCGCCACCGGAGGGCGAGGAGTTCCTCACCTTCAAGGACGCTGAGGTGCTGCCACTGGACGGGCACGGGAGTGAGGTGAAGACTACGGAATTCCATCCAGCGGACGGACACATTCTGGCCACAGTGGTAGACAGGAAAGTGCTGCTGATGAACAGGGCGGAGAGCCAGACGCGAGTCGTGGCGGAGATCAACTCCAAGAATTGCCCGAAGCTGACTGGTGGCAAGTGGTCGCAGCACCACCAGGGCAACCAATTCATCACCCTTCACGACTGCTCTGTCCGCTCGTACGACATCCGGGACGTGAATCACGCCGCCTGGACAATTGAGGACGCTCACGCGCAGCTCGTGCGCGACATCGACTGCAATCCCAATAAGCAGTGCCACATCGTGACGGGCGGCGATGATGGCTGCATCAAGATCTGGGACAGTCGCAGCACAAAGGAGGCGGTCTTCATGCGCTCAGACCACTCTCATTGGGTCTGGAGCGTGAAATTCAACACATTTCACGACCAGCTGGTACTCTCGAGCAGCTCCGACAGCAAGGTCCTCCTGACGTGCGCCTCCAGCGTCAGCTCAGAGGCGCACGGCGAAGAGATGCCCAGCATCTCGGATTCCGGCAGGGAGCGCCTCCAGGACGGACTGCTGCAGACTTTTGAGCAGCACGAGGATTCCGTGTATTGCGTGGAGTGGAGCAGTGCTGACCCGTGGACATTCGCCTCTCTCAGCTACGACGGCCGAGTGATCGTGAGCAAGGTTCCGCGCCAGTACAAGTACCAAATCCTCCTGTGAATGCCCGCATTGTCTTTTAAAATCATTTAAATTATACACATTAGCTTCTGTTTCCCAAATCTTCCAGCGTTCGTGGCTCCTTAGGCGGCTCTCCGCGACACGTTTTCGCGTGAATCGTCCTTATCTTCTTCTGTCGGAACTTCGCCAAGCACTTTGGGCACTCATAGCGAGGCTCGTCCAAGTGATCTCGCTGCATGTGCACCTTCAGCGCGTAGGACTGCTGATACGACTTCTCGCAGAACTTGCACTTGTACTTCTTCTCGCCGCTGTGGCTCATCATGTGTGAGTTGAGATTGGGCCGCACCTTGAAGGCTTTAGAGCAGATGTGGCACATGTACGGTCGCTCGCCGGTGTGAATGGTCAGGTGTCTCTTCAGTTGCATCTTCCGTAGGAATCGCTTGTCGCACACGTCACACTTGAAGCGCAGTTCGCCGGTGTGGCGCTTCAAGTGGGCTAGAAGAGTCGTGCGGTTCTTGGCGTGGAAATCACACGTCTGACAAACAGTTCCTGGATTGATTTGTGGCCGCGGTGGCTTTGAATGCACCTTCCTCCGATGGCCTCTCATATAAGACAGGTTCTTGAACGTTTTTCCACAGACATCGCACGGAACTTGAGAGTCGCAGTGCAATCGCCTGTGCGCCTTCAGGGATGATTCCAGGGAGAATCTCAAATTGCACACTTCACACCCAAAAGGCATGTCCTTGACGTGCGCCCGAAAGATGTGATTCCTCACCAGGCACTTTTTCTTGAACCTCTTGCCGCAATCAGCGCAAGCGAATCTCAATTTCTCTCTTATCACAAATCCAGTGTTGTCTGGAGTTTTCTCACTCTTCTCCACCCAAGTCTTGATCCTCATCTTTTCAGGATCGCTCTTTTCTTCAGGACGCTCAGTCTTCACTGATTTCAGCTCGCTGAGTGGATCTACGCTGAGCGGATGCGCTCGATGCGTTCCCATTCGGCAAATCAGGATCTTATACGTATTCTCGCACTGAATCTTGAAGTCAAAAGCATCCTCAAGTCGCGCACTGCAGCGGGTGCAGATGAAATTCAGCATATAGCTGTAATTTCCCTGTAAAACAAACCCTTATTTTGACTATTGTCGAAATTATTATACTTTGAAAACTCATGTTTTTTTTACCCCAAAATCGGCGATTTGGTGGAGTTTCTCATTCAAGTGGCTGAACTTCTCCGTGGAAATGTTAAGGAGATTGTCCATCCGCTCGCAGATTCTGCACAATTCCAAGACATCTTGCTTCGCGCAGAGCTGCTTGTCCATGAAACCCTCGATTGAACTAATTGTCGATTGCAGCAAAGGAGGTTTTGCAGATGATTCTGTCCAGTTGACGCACAAATCAGGCATGAAGTTTGTACTGAACATTGCCACACATCCAAGCTCTTCGCCCGGTGGCGAGCGGTCGGCGTGTTGTCATAAAACGGGGCCGACAGTCGGCTGGTCTGTCGCCCGTTCAGACAAACAAATGACTGTCAATTGTTTGTCGAGTGGCACCGGTCTGAAGTTGGCAGATGTTAGCAACATGGTGATGTCAGAATACCCGTTTGTCTGAACTGGCGACAGTCCAGCCGACTGTCGGCCCCGTTTTATGACAACAAGCCGACCGCTCGCCACCGGGTTTTATACACCCCTCAGTTAAATTCTGCCCGTTCTGCCCGGAAAATTGAGTTTTATGGATTTTCTGGTATTTTCGACTTGGTTAGAATTTGGATTTTCGGCTAGCCGAGACACAAATCGCAATTCAGCAGGTTTTTCGGCTGAGTTCAGCTCATCACTGACTGCAAGGACCGCAAAGGGTTAACTGAATTTCATCTCTTTGAAGTTCATTACATTTTGATCCCACGCAATTAGAAACAACTTCAGTCGAATGGATTTTGACACCAGAAAATGTAAACAAGAACCTGTGAATCTTTTGTTTTTTGGGGTTGTGCAAGGAAAATGTATCGAAAAGATGCAATTGGCGAGACTTCGTGGAGAAATTCTGCACTGGATGGCTATTTGGGTCAGCAAGGAGTCATCGAATTGTGCAGAATATGCGAAGAAACTGAGGATCTTGTTGACATATCGACGGAAGAGTTCAGTCACTTAAACGAGAAACTCCACCAAATTGCCGATTTTGAGGTGGGCTCACACTGAGGATAGCTTGTGAAGTCCCTAATGCATCCTCCTTCCTATTGCAGGACACTTACAGCACCTGGTTGCAATTCATATGCGTGACTTGCAGCATGAAGCTGGAAAATGCATTCGATTTCAAGTCACAGTGCGAATTCACATACAGGAAGCTTCTCAGTCAGATGCGCAACACAGACCAAAGATCCGACGCTGCTGATCCAGCGGGAGACGCCGATGATGACCTGGAAGTGGAGAACGAGCAGATATACTTCGAGGAGCTGAAAGTTATGAAGCATCCACAGCAACTCGGAGAGACTATTAATTTAGATTCCGACTCGTCAGATTGGGGGGATTTCGAGGAGTCAGAGAAGTTCCACAGGTGGACTGAGATGAGAGAGAGTGCCAAAGATATGGAGACTTTGCCCATTGAGTGCGACGTGAGCGTGAGTTCTGACGAGGAAGTGATGGCAAATGTGGGTGTTGCTGAGATCGCGGATGAGCCAAATGGGGCATTCGTCTGCTCAATGTGTGATAAGAGCTTCAAAGGAAGGGCCGAGCTCAGGGACCACATCGATGGGGTGCATCACAACAGCAAGCGACACGAGTGCAATGTCTGTGGCGCCAAATACACGCACTATGTGTCGATGATGCGGCACCGGAAGATGCACAGCGCCGAAACATTCCCCTGCGACTTCTGCGGCAAGGCGTTTCGTACGAAGACATACATGAAGTCCCACCGGAAGGTGCATATGGTGTCGTTCGGCTCCAAGGCGCAGTCTCTCGAGTGCCAAATCTGCGGCCATAAGTCCCAGAACACGCTGCAACACATGAAGCACGTGAAGATCCACAACGGCGAGAAGCCACACAAATGCGAGGAGTGCGGCAAGAGCTTCCTCCGAAAGCAGTACTTGAACGAGCACTACAGAATGCACACCGGCGAGCGCCCCTTCCCCTGCCACATCTGCTCCTACGCCTTCCGCTACCGCACACACCTCAGCAGACACCTGAAGACGCACACCGGCGAAAAGTCCTACAAGTGCCTGGAGTGCGGCAAATCCTTCATGCAATCCGGCACACTCACCATCCACATGCGCATCCACACGGGCGAGTACCCCTTTGAGTGCTCCAGCTGTCCGAAGAAGTTCCGAGAGAAGCGAGAATTCACGAAGCACCGTGAAAAGTGCTTCAAAATTAAAAGTGCAACAGGAGTACTTTAAGAAATTGTGTATCAGCAGAATTTCCTGAATGTGTAATGATATTGTAATCATTGTACTACCAAAAATATCCTTGTATTCTATACAAGAAAACCCTCGGGAGGAAAAATAAAATTCCTGTCAAATGATCTTTAGCCAAATATTCGTTTTTCACTTGTAATCCTTGAGCTAAAACATCACAGATTGTTGTGGAGTCTTCCTGAGAAGAGAGGAGAGATTCCTGAGAAAAAGCACAAGATACTTCTTGTTTACTAAAAGGATAGAAAAGAATATGTTGGTGACGTTTGGAACAAATTTAGAATCAATTTTTTTATTGATGAAAAAAGTATTTGCATTTTTTATGCGTTTTGATATAGACTCAATAATTCTAAAAACTGATTGCAAAACTTACAAGAACATTTCAAAAAGAAAATGCAAGTGAAATTTTTAAATTTCATTTATGTAGTTAAAATTATTGCTAACAATTAGAAAAACACACGATTGTGTTGTCAAATCTAAACTTAAAATTGGTGATTTTCTTTTATTAATTTCGTAATACAAGTAACTTGAACATAAGCTCTTCCTTAGCATTCTATTTCAGTTCGTAGAAAGATGTTAGATAAATCCGAAGTTAGTTGTCCTCATTTGTATCTCTCCTGCTTCACTGGTAAGCACCGCTTTCTGTGGTTGAGCAGGGTTTTCCTCACCCTGAACCTCGTGAGGCAGTTCGGGCACTCGTAGGGAAGCTCTCCTGTGTGGATTCGCATGTGTATTCTTAGACTGCCGGACTGCGTGAAGCACTTCTGGCACACCTGGCACTTGTACTTCTTCTCGCCAGTGTGCGTGTAGATGTGTCTGTTAAGGTGAGAACGGCAGCGGAATGCCTTCTCGCAGTATGTGCACGGATAGGGCCGCTCGTCTGTGTGGATCTGGTAGTGGACGCGCAGTCCTTGCCTGCGCTGGAAGGACTTGTCGCACAGGTGGCACGTGTACTTGGCCTCGCCATGCTCCTCCTCCTGATCCGCCGAGCCGTACGCATCGGCGGCTGCGTTGTAGCCTCTGGACGTGCTCTCGTGCAGCAAAGAACGCAGCTTCGACGCACCGTGCTCTTGGCTGTGAATCTCTAAGTAGGCTTTCGTCCGGAACAGCCTTCCGCAGTTGTTACACGGAAATTTCTTTTCAATCGGCGTCGGCGGATGTCTGAATGCCGCCTGGCCGACGGTCGCCTTGCGATCGCCGTTGTCGTAGATCGGCCGCCTTCGTATCAAGTGCACGCGCTGCATGTGTTCTCTCATCTTCCACTTCTCCTTGAACGTTTCATCACACATTGCGCACACAAACGAAGCCTTGGCTTTCTCCGTCCTTCTCACGTTCAGCATTTTCATGAAGCCGCCGCCCTGGTTGGCGCCGCTGGAGAAATTCTTGCTGCTGTTGCTCGTCTTCTGAGTATTGAATTGCTGCTGTCGCATATTCTTGATTTGATTCTGTGCCATGGTTTTCGTGTCATTCGTATTTGCTTCCAGTTCAACCACTTCGTATATCTCAAAGAATGACTTGTCTCTGTGGGCATCGGTAAAATTCCTATTGCTGCCACTGTGATCGAGATCGTCGCTGCCGGAATTGCTGAAGAGGGAATCCTGAAATATGCTATTGTCCATCTGATCCACAAGCTTTCTGTACGTGTCTTCGCACTGGATTTTGAAGTCGAAGGCATTTTCGAGTTTTGTGCCACAAGATATGCAGATGAACTTCAAGAAGCTGCTGTAATCGTCCTGCAAAAGGGATACACGATTTATGTAGACGTTGAGCAACACTCCAACACAGTGCCTAATCCAATTCTGACATGTCCCTAACCCCCTTTCTCAGCTTGTGCTCAGGACGGACAAACAATCGACCAAAAATACACATCCCAGGGAAAGCTTTAAAATGGAAACATCGATAATAAGATTTATAGAGGCTCTTGCACCACTCCCACTCGCAATTTACCTCAAAATCAGCAATTCTGTGGAGTTTTTCGTTCAAGTGACTGAATTCTTCAGTGGAAATGTCAAGAAGATTTTCCATAGTTTCGCAAATCCTGCACACCTCAGCGATTTCTTGCTTCACAAAAGGCAACTTCTCCATCGAATGGTTCTTCCCCACTGGATTTTGTGATAAACAGGCTCTTAACATTGTGAAATAGACACGATTTTTCCAATTTTCAGGACTTCTGGCACCTCTTGTTTATGCGATGACAGCCAGACAGCCAAGCCATAATGGAAACTGTGCTGTGAAGCTATCTCCAGGCGCTTTAGTACAGCCGTTTTTTTTCAAACAAGAATGTAAATTTAACCCATTAGGGTTCACAAGGATTACGCAAGCTGATTTTGAACATATCCCTATTCTAATATTCCGGGCTTGAAACTTTCCCAAAGAACACTTTTTAAAGACTTAAAAGTCATTTTCTACCTTGTTTTTTTACCATTCTTGTTTGGAAAGCTACTAATATCGTATTTATGCGTTCTTTTCCTCGGCCCCGTTTTATGACAATAAGACAACCGCTCGTCACCGGGCTGGTCTGTCACCCGTTCAGACAAACAAACGACCGCCGATTGTTTGTCGAGTGGCACCGGTCTGATGTTGGCAGATGTTGGATATAGTGACGTCAGAATTTTCGGCCAAAATGAGAATTTTTCCAAATGCAAAGAAAATCACGGAAATTGCTCAATTTCACTCTTTTCAGGTCGGGACAATACTTTTCCGAGCCGTAATTAAATTCTTTATCGTTCGCCCATGCCGGCATATTCTCGATCATATAAAACGCGCATGTAATAAAAATAATTGTTGGGAGTTTAAAAATTTCTTCAAAATAATTAATTTAGTACGCCATGAAAAAAAATATACGCAGAGGCGCCATTTTTGACACACTCGACACATGCCCGAAAGTCGTCCGACAGTCGGTCACACTCCAATGTAAATGACTATGGCAAATATCGGCTGTTGTCAGCCGACAAATGGGACGAATGTTTACTTACAGTCGACTGACCACCCGACTGTCGGCCGACAATCGGCCCGAATGACGACAAACGCCCGCCACTGGGTAAATAAGAAGCGAACAGTAAAAATCACTGGAGTGGAGACGATTGCTGTGTACCTTTATTGGTCAAAGCGTTTAATGCTCAATGCTAAAATCATGTGTTTAAATCCGCCAATCGCGAAAATCTTTGAACACAGCAGAGCGAGATGAAAGTCCGCTTCACGGCGGGCAAAAGAGCAGAGAAGCGCGAAAGCGGGTGGGGGAAAAGGTTCCTATTGAGAATGTTCTAGATGTGAGACAACAATTCGCTTCACCAGAATTGGCTTGCACCTCTCTGTCTATCAATATGTAAATAAATAAGAAGCGAACAGTAAAAATCACTGGAGTGGGGACGGTTGCTGACTAGCAGCTGCTCTCATTGGTCAAAGCGATTGATGCTCAACGCTAAAATCGTGTGTTTAAATCCGCCAATCGCGAAAATCTTTGAACACAGCAGAGCGAGATGAACTCCGCTTCACGGGCAAAAGAGCAGAAAAGCGCGAAAGCGGGTGGGGGAAAAGGTTCCTATTGAGAATGTTCTAGATGTGAGACAACAATTCGCTTCACCAGAATTGGCTTGCACCTCTCTGTCTATCAATATGTAAATAAATAAGAAGCGAACAGTAAAAATCACTGGAGTGGGGACGGTTGCTGTGCAGCTTCATTGGTCAAAGCGATTGATGCTCAACGCTAAATCGTGTGTTTAAATCCGCCAATCGCGAAATCTTTGAACAGCAGAGCGAGATGAACTCCGCTTCACGGGCAAAAGAGCAGAAAGCGCGAAGCGGGTGGGGGAAAAGGTTCCTATTGAGAATGTTCTAGATGTGAGACACATTCCTCACCAGAATTGGCTTGCACTCTCTGTCTATCAATATGTAAATAAATAAGAAGCGAACAGTAAAAATCACTGGAGTGGGGACGGTTGCTGACTAGCAGCTGCTCTCATTGGTCAAAGCGATTGATGCTCAACGCTAAAATCGTGTGTTTAAATCCGCCAATCGCGAAAATCTTTGAACACAGCAGAGCGAGATGAACTCCGCTTCACGGGCAAAAGAGCAGAAAAGCGCGAAAGCGGGTGGGGGAAAAGGTTCCTATTGAGAATGTTCTAGATGTGAGACAACAATTCGCTTCACCAGAATTGGCTTGCACCTCTCTGTCTATCAATATGTAAATAAATAAGAAGCGAACAGTAAAAATCACTGGAGTGGGGACGGTTGCTGACTAGCAGCTGCTCTCATTGGTCAAAGCGATTGATGCTCAACGCTAAAATCGTGTGTTTAAATCCGCCAATCGCGAAAATCTTTGAACACAGCAGAGCGAGATGAACTCCGCTTCACGGGCAAAAGAGCAGAAAAGCGCGAAAGCGGGTGGGGGAAAAGGTTCCTATTGAGAATGTTCTAGATGTGAGACAACAATTCGCTTCACCAGAATTGGCTTGCACCTCTCTGTCTATCAATATGTAAATAAATAAGAAGCGAACAGTAAAAATCACTGGAGTGGGGACGGTTGCTGACTAGCTCATTGGTCAAAGCGATTGATGCTCAACGCTAAAATCGTGTGTTTAAATCCGCCAATCGCGAAAATCTTTGAACACAGCAGAGCGAGATGAACTCCGCTTCACGGGCAAAAGAGCAGAAAAGCGCGAAAGCGGGTGGGGGAAAAGGTTCCTATTGAGAATGTTCTAGATGTGAGACAACAATTCGCTTCACCAGAATTGGCTTGCACCTCTCTGTCTATCAATATGTAAATAAATAAGAAGCGAACAGTAAAAATCACTGGAGTGGGGACGGTTGCTGACTAGCTCATTGGTCAAAGCGATTGATGCTCAACGCTAAAATCGTGTGTTTAAATCCGCCAATCGCGAAAATCTTTGAACACAGCAGAGCGAGATGAACTCCGCTTCACGGGCAAAAGAGCAGAAAAGCGCGAAAGCGGGTGGGGGAAAAGGTTCCTATTGAGAATGTTCTAGATGTGAGACAACAATTCGCTTCACCAGAATTGGCTTGCACCTCTCTGTCTATCAATATGTAAATAAATAAGAAGCGAACAGTAAAAATCACTGGAGTGGGGACGGTTGCTGACTAGCAGCTGCTCTCATTGGTCAAAGCGATTGATGCTCAACGCTAAAATCGTGTGTTTAAATCCGCCAATCGCGAAAATCTTTGAACACAGCAGAGCGAGATGAACTCCGCTTCACGGGCAAAAGAGCAGAAAAGCGCGAAAGCGGGTGGGGGAAAAGGTTCCTATTGAGAATGTTCTAGATGTGAGACAACAATTCGCTTCACCAGAATTGGCTTGCACCTCTCTGTCTATCAATATGTAAATAAATAAGAAGCGAACAGTAAAAATCACTGGAGTGGGGACGGTTGCTGACTAGCTCATTGGTCAAAGCGATTGATGCTCAACGCTAAAATCGTGTGTTTAAATCCGCCAATCGCGAAAATCTTTGAACACAGCAGAGCGAGATGAACTCCGCTTCACGGGCAAAAGAGCAGAAAAGCGCGAAAGCGGGTGGGGGAAAAGGTTCCTATTGAGAATGTTCTAGATGTGAGACAACAATTCGCTTCACCAGAATTGGCTTGCACCTCTCTGTCTATCAATATGTAAATAAATAAGAAGCGAACAGTAAAAATCACTGGAGTGGGGACGGTTGCTGACTAGCTCATTGGTCAAAGCGATTGATGCTCAACGCTAAAATCGTGTGTTTAAATCCGCCAATCGCGAAAATCTTTGAACACAGCAGAGCGAGATGAACTCCGCTTCACGGGCAAAAGAGCAGAAAAGCGCGAAAGCGGGTGGGGGAAAAGGTTTCTATTGAGAATGTTCTAGATGTGAGACAACAATTCGCTTCACCAGAATTGGCTTGCACCTCTCTGTCTATCAATATGTAAATAAATAAGAAGCGAACAGTAAAAATCACTGGAGTGGGGACGGTTGCTGACTAGCAGCTGCTCTCATTGGTC